AAATGCAAGTTTATGTCGCAAAACATACCGGTAGGAGGAGGTATTTAAAGTTATGTTGTTAATAATCAATCATGCGTTCTTGAATTGATGTCAAATTTCAACAAAACTGTTTGCTTATATTTCATTTATAACAAATATTAACAAAGTAGAAAAAACATTATACATGAAAGGGTACTGACAATAAGCCGATTGTAATTTAATTACTATTTGTGTTTTTGTTTACAATGAAAAAGAAGAAAATCAAGATGATGCCGATCTCCAGCTACGACGCCACCACCACCAGGGAGCAGCAGCACGATTTCGCTCTTAGTCAAGCCCAAGAAGGGAAGAGGAAGCGGTAGGTACAGATAATGTTTGGTCTCTTTATGAAATGTAAACCTGTGAAAATCAGGAGCTGCACTGAGAACAGAAAGTATGGCGTAGCAGCTAAAAACTTGAAGGAGTTGCTCAAAAAAGGCTGCAAGACATTACAGGTGAGTACGTTCGCCTTTAACTACTGTACCGCCAGTTCCTGTCCGACCCGTGTACAACAAAACAACTACAGATAAACAAAAGACAACGTGAATCGTTATTTCAGTAGCCACAGATGAGGAAGTGGAACCAGTTGATTTAGATAGTGTTGGTCAAAACAGAACTGGTGTGATCCAGACAAGATATAAAATAAAATGAGTGTCACGACGATACGATAGGCACACGCTTGTTTGTAATCGAGCAGTATCTTTCATGAGTGACTTGTGCCTCACTGAGGGACACGCCAACATGTTCAAGACATAGTTCGTGCAATTGATAAGTTACGAAGGTTGTCAAATGATAAAAATTCACAAAAATAGTCCTTGTAAGACTGCAAGTATAATCACCGTACATCCATTTGAAGGCTAGCTTGTGGATATGCAGTCAACTATTTTATTTTGAAATATCAGCATTAATTTGAACAAATGTTTTTTTTTCTTTAAGTTAATCTGGAATTGTCTTTTAAACTTGAGTAGTAAATAAACATTAATAAATAAATATTTAACCTATTTATGTTTAAAATGAATTGTAATCCTGATATGTTAGTCAACAATTAAATTGGGATATAAACATTGAGGTTATGATGGTGCTCCTACTACACCTGTATTCTCCAACAATATCATAAAAAAATTGTAATTAAACCTAATTTGATACATGAGATACATACAAAAATCTTAGTGAGTGAGGCTACTGAGTAGTACACAAAAATGTGCATACAGTTAAAAAATTATGTTTACCTTGTCTACCTTAGAGAATCAGAGTGAAGGAGAGGGGGCAAAATTTGAATTTCACTGAGGATAACCTGCTTCTGTCCAAGTTTGTTCACATGTTCACAAACTCAGTGACCTATGTGGCCAGTTTTGAACTCATTACCTTCAGTTATCACTCTTTTTCTTTCTAATTGCTTTCAAATCATCTGACTGAATTAAACTGTATAAAAACAATATCAGACAGAACCGGCAGAACCAGCCCTTATGGAATTGAACCCTAGTATTATTGCAGTCTGAATTATTTTTATCCTGTTTTAACGTCAGAACACCTTTGTTGTCCAACTGCCTCAGGGCAGGAACTATCATCTTGTCTACTCTATTGTTGTTATAGAATGAAGAAAAAAATCTGTTTCATTATACACAATGACACCTGCTGTTTACTATAATAACAGATCACACTTATCCACGACCTTTGTACCCTTTTTGTAAAGTATATAAACTTTACAAAAAACATTTTCTAGGGGATGAACGTAATATACTGCATAACTGCTTTTTGAAATGTAACTTAAAATGTCCTGTGTTTTAGTTGCCACTGGCAGGTGCACGGGTGTGTTTGTATGCTGATGGGACACAAGTGACGGAGGAGTTTTTCCACACTCTGCCTGATCACACTGAACTGGTTCTTCTGTCCAGAGAGCAGTCTTGGAGTGGAGGTGTGTGTGTGGTGGGAGGGTGGGGGTGGGGCTTGTTAAATTATTATTTGTATAAGTAACCACTTGATTTCCCTTCTGATTTCAGCTCTATGCGACATAGGTCAGTTGCTGTGCCCAGACCAACACGGGGATGACCTCATCAAAGCAGCCAGGGGTCTTCTGTATGATGAGAAGTCTCCCAGGAGACGTAAAATCCTGACTGACCTGCTGCAGAACCTGGAGGATACGTCTGAGCTGGAGAGCAGAGAGGAAGATGAGGAGTGGTTTAAAGGTACATGAGGTTCATGGAGTGGTGTATGGTCAGGTGTCACGTAGGTTAAAAGTGATTCCAACCACTGGACAGAGCACATTAGTGTGCCGTGAGAGATCAAGTTTCTTGTAAAGAACAATCCAATTTAACTTAATTGGTCTAAAAAATTTGTATTTGTTTAGTTACTTCAGCTAATTTGTCTTTGTCTATAGGACAGTGACAAGCAAAACAATTAAATACTATTTCAGCAGGTGGCAGCAGATGGCTATAACATGTTCTTTATCCGTTCCACAGTAAAAACAAAAAAGAGAGACTTAGAGTTGTTAAAGTTGTCTTTCTTTAATTCCTGCGACTATAGAAGTGTTTTGTTCAGACACAAATTTAAGTAATTTGTAACAAGAAGATCTTTATATTTTATTACATATACTTTTTAATGACAATTCCGTCATTTACGTATGACAAGTGTGCATCATAGGATTTAACTGGTGTACAGTTTAGTATAGAATATCCACAAAATATCCAGTGTTTTGATGGTTAAATGGTCTCATCTCATCATTACATTCTGATTATGTTGGTTGTGTTTAATTTCAGGCATTGATGCTCGCTTCAAGACCAAGTCAGCCTACATGAAGTTCAACTGTGAAAGCAGGATTAGAGGTTACATGAAGGAGGTGAGTCAGTAATGAGTTATTATAACATATATATATTATAATAATATATATAATAACAATAAATTCCTTATTTATTTATTCCGTTAAGTTTTGATGTGAATCTGAAAAATTGTTATGAAGCCAGCTTTATATATATATATATAGATAAAGATGTTTACCATATGATCTTCAGGTGGATGAAGCCACCAAAAGCATTCAGAAAGCTACAGTCAAGGCAGAGTACTTGAAAACATCCCAGTGTCTGAGTGACATGCTAAAAGCAGACAGATACAACAGCTCTTACTTTGACAGGACTGAAAAGGAAGTGGATCGTCTCTGTACTCAGGAAGGATGGTTCACCTGTCAGGTAGAATATCAGTTCAGTTAAATACTGCACATTTGATTGGGACTTTGCTGTTTTTGAGCACATTGACATGTGATGAACTTCCTTACCTCCTCAGGGATCATTTGACTTGGAAGTGTGTCTGTCCCTACATTCAATTAATCCCTACAGCAGCAGAGAAAGTAGGATCATCTTCAGCACGTGGAATCTGGACCATAGGTTGGACACACTATTTTGTTATACAAATGCAATCCATATTTTACTTGTTTAATCCTTGTATTTGCACTTATGTGCTTCCTTGTCTGGTTCCTTAAGGGTTCCACATAACATTAAGGAACAGATTTTAATCAAAAATAATTCTGCTCATCACTGATCATTTACTAAGAATTATATCTATTACAAAAAATTAATATCACTACATGAGAATCTGTTGTCATACTGATTTAGGATTAAAGTTACTGCAGGTATATGTGCAGAGGGATTTACTTTTTTTTTTTTTTTTTTTGCATGATGTAGAAAAATATTCAGCATTGCCGTGTCCCTAATCTACCACAGTTATTTCCTCACACTATAGTTAGTATTGGATAAACAGTCACCCTTTTTTCTATCTTGTATCCAGGATAGAGAAGAAGAGGACCATCATTCCAGCTCTGACTGAAGCTCTGCAAAATCACAAGTCTGCTGATGTCAACCTGACCTACTTCTACCGCCTGTTGTTCACAAGGGAGAACCTGAAGCTGGTTCACATCGTGTGCCACAAGAAAGGAGCCCACAACCTGCTGTGCGATTCCAAGAAGATTTTCAGACAAGACAGGAACAATAACAAGAAAAATCCAACAAAGAAGAGGCGCTTGATGTAATCAACCAAACCTTTAATGAGCACATTTTACAAACACTGTGTTAAATGTGATGATGTGATGTCACCCTTGACCATGTAGAAAAATGGACGTTTCCGTCACTGACACTGGAGCAACTTCCTGCAGTAGCTTTGTATAAATGTAAACATACGGCCACTCAATCTGGCCCTCTGACTGACAAGAACTTTTAGTGGCATTATTCCAACAGTTTTAAACTCATTCTCTAAAAAACAGTAGGAAATGTCTTGAAATGAAAAAAATCTAGGACTGGACGGTTACGTCCATTTTTTTCTACATGGTCGTCAGTAACACAAATATATTCTCAGGTAAATGTCACCTCCAGAGCTCACTCTCTTCTTGATTCTTACACTGTGATTACAATCGTACAAGGCACCTGACAGTGAATAGAGACAAAGAATGTGAAAGTCACATTAATGCATTAATAGGTATAAATATAGAAACTATTTGAAAGGACGGAAAGAGTATTCAGCTATATACAAAATGGACTTGACTGCAGTCACTGCAAATGTTTTTTAAGCAACAATCAACAAACATATGCATACAGTCAGCTGTATTTCTGCTAAAAAGCTGCCAAAAAAGAGAAATTAAGTTCACAAAGATCATTTTATATGGAATATTAGGCACTCTTAGTATGATACTGAGCAGAGTGTTTACATTATAACATGTTTTTTGTGTTTTTTTTTCCCTCATCCCTTTTTGTACTATTTAATTAATGTGAACAGAATAGTCTTTATTGTCTGATTTGAATTGATGAATTCAAAAGATTTGTAGAAAATTATTTTCTAATGTCTTTCTGTGCTTAATTTCACCACTGTTGGGCATTTTCTGTCAACAGTAACTTTTCAAATAAATTATAAAACAAAACAATACCTTACTGATTCTAAAATGCTGTCAACACACACACACATTGGGATTGAAGGTGGTGGAAGATAATTCTAAGAAATAAAACCTTTTACTAGTGCACTGATATTTTTTTATAAACAGCAGCATTAATCCAACTCTGCAGTCAAGCCAGTGCTATGCGTAGAGAGTAAAGTGGTACAATTTTACAATCAGCTTTAAAACACCAAGCAGAGATGTCACACAGATGCTGAAGGCAGGAGTGATGGAAATATAACCATGATGTGACAGAACCAGTTTCAGAGTCAGAACACTTTGCTTTAAGCTGCTTTTGTAGAAGTGCTGAGAAGTTTTATGTCTTATCTCAGACATTGGGTTTTTTTTTATTCAGTCATGTTATACCTTAAACGCCTCTTGTGTCCTCCTGTGATGCACAGCTGAAGTGCCCCTCATCTTCATCGCTGTCTGCCCCAGCATAGAACTGTCTCCTCCTGTTGGCCTTCTGGTCGGAGGATTCTTGAGAAAGATCCTGCGGTACATAAAAAACTCAGTTAGATCTTATCATTCAAATTAAAGTGGAAAAGCAATACCAATACCAACGCAGTCAGGCTTTTCCATGTGACACGAGTACATGGGCGTTCTTGACTTGCATTGGAAATCCATCCTGTGGTGCGACCTAACTCATATTTGTCCACTCCTCTCGCCAACTAGTTCCTGTGCAAAGTAGTTGGCAAGTTTTAATGCCAAATGTAAAAATTATGGAAAAGACTTTCTTAATAAATGAATCGGTGATGGTAGCATAACCACAAAACGGTAGGTCGAGGATGACGTAAATCAAGGACCCCATGTATATGTCCCAGTTTCAAAGTCTTCTGTTTTTTCAAGTATGATCTTCATCGACCATCTTTAGAGCAGCCCACAAAGTCAACCTATGTGTAGCCTGTTACAACTATCCAGACTATTTCTGTTACTGCTCTGTCCTGTCTTTGATTTCTAATTTTTTTGTAAGTATTTCCTGCCAGAGAAGTGTTTGTGATTCTTAAGGGCGGCATTGACTTGATGCAGACTAAGAAAGTCTTTCTTCACCACCCCTCCACCCTCAGAAGCACAAATAATTATCTTACCGGTACGACGTCTAAGTTCCCAAAGAACTGCTCTATGGGAAGAATCTGGTTGCTGTCATCATCTGGAAAGATGGTGGCGCTGGTGTCTTTAATATCCAAACTCCCACAGTCCTGTTTGCCCCCAGTGCAATTTCTGCTGCAGTCGTCCCACTCCAGCCTTGTCTGCAGTTTGTTTTCTTTTCCCTCAAGTCCTTCAAGATCCGGAGATTCCGAGCATCGTGTCCTTCCCGGAGACCGATGGCATTCACAAATGATGCAGGAGCCTTTGCTCCGAGATCCACCTGTTTGGCTGTCGCCACAGTCAGCTGAACTGCTCTCGGGGGCAGAGTTTTTCTGAGAACCTTTCACACATCTCCTCTTTGTAGCAGATTCCTGAGATGCAAAAAATAAAAAGGAAAGATCACGAACATCAGATGAAAATGTGTAAATCATACACAGCAGACATTGATATAAACAGCAGCACTTGCTGTAAATGTTCTGGGCTCCGCTTCACACAGGCAACACAAACCTTTGTGGAGATCCTGACCTCAGGCATGCTCTTTCTCTTTCTGGAATTTGACCTGTCAGTTTGACCCGGCATCTGCAGAGCAACATAAAGTGGTTTGTTGTCATCTTTTGTCAACAGTGGTCCTTACACAGGAACTTAAAGCAATTGCCCATAGGCTTTAGCCAAACAATATTTTAGTATTTCAATCAATCTTCTATTAAAGTATAAACATCATATTGACATTGCAGGAAAAGCTGTTTTCGAGTTTATTCATTTTTAAGAAACGTTTTAATTTCTCATTAACTTAGAGTATATAAAAATATTTTAATTATTTTTTATTCATCCTCCCAAAGCCTGAATTTTCTGAATCCCTACGTGGTCGCATATAAAAAAGACCGATGTTTATCCAGTCCAGTCAAGTCCAGTCACAAAGTTGAAGATTTAATGCCGCGTAACGTAAACACAACTTAAGAATACTCACTCACTATTCTGACTTTTAAACATTAAAATATATTTATAATTGTCTATATCTCACAACACTTAACCGGAAGCGAATCCGACAACTAAGTAAACAAACTTGCTCGAGCGGGATCCACGAGTAGTGCGGTTTTGTAAGCTAAACAGACCAAAGTCACATGGCTCGGCAGCTAGGATCAGATCCATCCGCGCCCATTGTCGGCACACAGTTACACAAACTTATAAGTTAGCAGCTAAAGTCTGAAACAAGCTAACCTAACTTGAATACACAAAACATACATACCAATAACACATAAGCTAATATTGCTAACAAGATAGCTGCGGCCTGAATGAACTAGCATCAACTTATTACTGCCAGTATTACACTTACCGCATGAGTCAGTCACCAGCGTATTTTTCATTAGCTTTTTGTCGGAGTTTAAACTTTCTGCCTTCTTATGAGTTTGAACAGCACTTTCTTTCAGCTATGGCTGTACTCCCGTGATGTTTAGTCCATAACATCTATGGCGTCGTCACTTGGCCAGCCTTAGCCAGCCTGTCGTGGCTTCTTTGTATGTTTCCTGCTGCTGTCTCCGCTGCTGGTTCACCCATGGGTCAGAGAGCGTTCACGGTCGCCCCGCCCCCAAACTTTAGCAAGTGATTAATATGACGTAAACTAGAGTTACGCAGCTCCGACTTCCTACGGTCGCAGACGGTCTGAAATTCAAAGACGTATATTAGAGGAGTACCAAGTGTAACAATGTCAACAAGTCTCAAACTGCCTATGTTGCCAAATTAGGTCGATTTCACGGATTGGGTACTGACTCAGGCTACGCTCTACTGCATATCGATAGACATCACTGCATAATACTGTTTTAAAAGAAAGCAGTTTTGCACATACAGTAAGTGAAATAAAACTATTAATATTAAAACTATTTTTTCAGCCAAAGTAAAATCAACAAGAGCTAGTAACAAATTATGATAATTTTAATAACGACAGTAGTGTTGTATATGAGGTTTTAGTACTGTAGTTGTACTACAGATTCATATAGTACTGTATATACATTTCATAAAGAAAGCCGGCGAATTATTATCGTCACAAACATTCGTACTATTTAACAAAATAGGCAAAAACTTCAGAATGTAAAACAGATGTCGCCGAATAAACCAGCCCTAAATCCGGCCAGGGCAGTAAAACATGTATTAAAGAAAGATAATTTATTTTGAAGTTTTACTTCCGTTTTACACGTTTCCTTCGAAGGGATGTGATGAGTGTAGTTAATATTTGTGTCCACAGAACGTCGCTGTTTCTCTTGCAATGCAGTTGAACTAGTTTTATTTTATTATTATCATTATTGTTATTTAGAATGTTATCCTTTCTGCATATTAACGATGTTTTCATTTAATTTGTGAATTTGTTCATTTGTATTTCCACATTCAAGTAAAGAGTGAAACCACTTTAGAAAGAAAAGTGGCGAAATATTTGCATAATATTTTTGATTGGACAGGGAATTAAAACAGTGAACAGGGACTATGGAAGAGAAAAAAAGAAGGCAAGAAAACAGTAAAACAAACAGGATCGCAAGGGAGCAGGGAGGAATAGACAAGTCAACAGGTGAAATTAATGAGTCATAGGTAACAGCAGGGCAGAGCTGCGGGTAATTTACAGGAAGATCACACGTGACAAACATGGAAAAGACAACAGACAACAGAGATACATGACATAAATAAGGAAACCGAAAAAAGAAATGGAAAATCAGAAAAGGAACAATAAAACACGGGGGGTTAAACCACAAATCTAAATATCTTATTATAACCAAAACATACAGTAAATATTAAAATTATTAACCAAAGGTTGAACTTGTGAACAATGATCAGGTGTCAGGGGAAAGCTGATTGTTTTGGTGTAGTATGAGTGGCTTTTCCTGTAAATGGGCGTGTATTTATTTCGTATGTAAGATTACGATTCAGAATAAGATGGCATGGGGAGTCGTTCCTGTCTTCCAAGTGCATTTTAATTTAATTTGCAGATAATTTTGTCCTTAAACTGGGGCAGTACAACAGGAGTGGCCACATGTGTCTGTCACACACTGCAGTGACAACAGTACTGGGACTTTAAATCCAACTGATAAGGAATTAGATGATACTGGAGGCTGTGATATAATTATCAGTACTGGACAGAATGCAATGTCTCTGTCTGCTAATGCACAAAAAATACAAATACTTCAGTGTGGGTGAGTCAAATTGCTCAATCGAAGCCAGGGAATTACGCCTGGTGTCAAATAAGTGACGATCATTGGGGGGCGGAGACATTTCAAGGAGGGAGGAGGGGTGTCGCGAGGTAGAATGAATAGACGTCGTGTCCTGGAGCACATAATCACTCACACTCCGTAAAGAACACAGGGATACGTACCATCAGCATCCACATGGTACACGGGAGAACCGTCATGGGGGGAAATGAGCCCCAGTGCCACTCCAGTGCCAGTGGGTACAGATAGCTGAGGACGCAACAACCTGTGGTCTCCACATGAGTAGGGACAGCGGGGATACGGGCTGTGGCGCTGGAGTTGTGAAACAGTATGAAGGCAGCGGAACCCGCTTCTGAAGGTCTGTGGGCGCCTCACTGAGACTATGGATCACTTTTTTCGGAGGAAGCGGCTCGGTCTGCTGAAATCGCTGCTCAGCCTGTCTCTGGTCTTTGTGTCTTTTGTGATGATCCAGAAACTCAAGCTGGCGGAGAACGTCGGAGACAAACAGCCGAACGATGCTGACTGGTGTGTCCCAGAGTGCTTCACGTTTAAGAAGGGAATCGTTGCTAAACCTGCACCCGAGAGCTCCGTCTCCACCGTGCGTAACAGGGAGTTGGACGCGCAACGGAGTTCCAACGGCACTCCGACTCACTGGGACGCGCAGGTTCTCAACTGCAGTGAGGACGCGTCAGTTAAGACCAAGGACTGGTTTCAGCGACTGGACTCCAGGTTTCACCAGTTTGTGCTGCGCAGACACTGCAGGTACTTCCCCATGCTCATCAATCACCCGGAGAAATGCACAGACGGAGACGTGCACCTCCTCATGGTGGTTAAGTCCGTCATCGAGCAGCACGACCGACGGGAAGCTGTGCGTAAAACCTGGGGCAAGGAGCAAACGATTAATGGAAGGAAAATCAAAACACTGTTTCTGTTAGGGAAACCGTCCACAGGCAAAGACGACAAAAACCTGCAGAAACTGGTCGAGTTCGAAGACTCGCTCTACGGGGACATCCTGCAGTGGGATTTCATGGACACCTTCTTCAACCTGACCCTGAAGGAGGTCAACTTTCTCAAATGGTTCCACATCTACTGTCCCAGTGTCCAGTTCATATTTAAGGGAGATGATGACGTGTTTGTGAACACGCAAAACCTGCTAGAGCTCATAGACTTCAAAGTGGACGAGGACAAGGTGGGCGACCTATTTGTGGGGGACACCATCGCCAAGGCGACCCCCATCCGAAACAGGCAGAGCAAATATTACATCCCCAAAGAACTTTACGACAAGCCGTACCCGCCCTATGTCGGCGGTGGGGGGTTTCTGATGTCCTCCGTAGTCGTCAGGAAGCTGTTCATGGCCTCGGAGAAGCAGGAGTTATACCCCATCGATGACGTGTTTTTGGGCATGTGCCTGCAGAAGCTTGCCATAAGCCCACAGATGCACCCTGGCTTCAGGACCTTCGGCATCACCAGGCGCAGGGTGAGCACCATGAACAACGAGCCATGCTTTTACAAAAGCCTCATAATGGTGCACAAACTGAGCGCACCAGACCTGATCAAAATGTGGAACGTGGTCCAAAGCAAGGACCTGGTTTGTGCGCAGAGGTCTTCAATATGACAAGGACATGAGGACTTATTTAGGGCCATCAGACAAAAACTGGACATCATTTCACTGGATAAGACTGATGGTGTGATAACAGTGCCCTGCCTGAGTGCAGTTTTCTTTATGAAACCACTACCAAAAGATTGTATCATAGGTTTCTGGTTCTTTGTGCCATTCCATCTGGAAGTCCCTGAGTCAGACTGTCTCAACACGACATAGAAGTAAAATAGTAACTGTTTTTCTTTACTTGTTTAAAATCCAGCACATTTTTTTTCTTTAAACTTCAGGCTTTTTAAAAAAAGTGTCTGTCAATGTAACTGTAAGAGAATTAAAGAAATATTATGTCTATTTTTGTGTTTATGGTTTTCGGACAATATGCAGAAAAACTGTTCCGTCTGTTTCGATGTAGATTCATGTACGATACTGTTAATAAAACTACAAATACAGACGTTTTTGCTGTAAACAGCCCTTACTGAAATATTATTACTATGGTGTACACATACTGTATAGTTTCATTGGGTGTTTTAACCCATTACAATGAAAGAGGACTCTCTTACTTTCCATCGGTGGGTTAAAAAAAAGCACAAAAAACAGCAAATTACATATGAAGCCAAATGTATTGACTAAAAACATAAACAACGACCCTAAGATTAAGTGAAAAATTAGAAAGCTAATATTCTCATTTACAAAATGGCTGAACCAAAATAATTGTATTGTTTGTTTGACAGCTATCACCAACAAACCACTGTGCACAACACACACTGATATTACACCGTGTGCCAGAAATTGATAAAAAGCTAGTCAATAGTTACAATATTATGTAGCACATAAAAAGTATTAAACCGCTTTATACAGTGTACATTACATGACTTTGTTAAGGTCACCAACGTGAAATTATTAGGTGTCGACCAAAGCCATAAAATACTGTTCATACTGCTTTTATTTACACCTGTCCAAGGAATCCGTCTTCACCTTAACTACTGCATTCTCACTATGGCAATAATAGCAATTATAAAGTCATAACTTGCCTCTGATTCATACACGGGCCCTTTGGCAAATTGCTTGTGTCCCCGCACGGGAGGAAGTTAATTAATAAGTGCATCCAAAGACTAAACACAAAATCTGACACCAGAGCTCATAATATTTTCAGCAGTGAAACATTGTCTGCTGGAATGTCACACAGAGAAGAGAGTCTACTGCTCCTGCAACCGGAGCCTCAGGCTGGTTCCTTATTTCCGCCCAAACAATGAGAAGAGTGTTTCTGCCACATCAGTCACAGCCGTTGTCTGCAGCCCAGATTCAGCGTTTGCTCAGTCAGGTGTTCCCTTACGCATTAATTCGTTTTGTAGTACTTTTCTCAGCAATGGAAGCTACTGTATTTTATTCACATCCAGGGCTGGACTGGAAAGTTGGCAAAATTTGTCTCCAGTCCTCACTTCCACTTTATTCTTTTAGTTTTAATAATATTATTAAAATAATGAGCTAATTCTGTTTGTTTCCTCAGTGCTCTGTGTCATCATCCTTCTTATATTAACTCTGGATTAGAGACAACTCATGGTAAAACAGAGAAAACACTATACACACACTAGTTTTTGTCATGACTTCACTTAAGCTCATTTGTTTCCCCAAGGAACTATATACAGATCCTTTCCAAAAAATTAGAATATCGTGAAAAAGTTGTTTAATTTCCATAATTCCATTCAGAAAGTTAAACTTTCATATATTCATAGATTCATGGCCCACAATTTAATCAATTTCAGGTATTTGTTTATTTTTTTACATAATTTTGGCTTCCAGCTCATGAAACCCACAAAAACAGGATTTCAATAAATTCGAATACTGTGAATTAGAATACTGTTTTTGCAGAAAATAAATAAAGAAAAAAAGAAATCAATCAAAATATGGTACTTTCAAAATGATTGGTTGGGAATCCCTTTGCCTTAATCACTGCCTTGATGCGACGTGGCATTGAGGCAATCAGGCTGTGGCATTGCATAGGAGTTATGGAAGCCCACATTTCTTTGATGCTTGCTGTCAGCTCTTCTTTGTTGTTGGGTCTGGTGCCCCTCATTTTCCTCTTGAGAATACCCCATAGATTCTCAATGGGGCTTAGGTCCGGCGAGTTGGCTGGCCAGTCAAGCACTGTGATGGCATGAGCATCAAACCAGGTTTTGGTGCTTCTGGCAGTATGAGCAGGGGCCAGGTCCTGCTGGAAGATGAAATCTGCATCTCCATACAGATCCTCAGCAGAAGGAATCATGAAGTCCTCCAAAACATTCTGGTAGACTGTTGCGGTGACCTTGGATTTAAGAAAGCAGAGTTTACCAACACCTGCACTGGACATTGCACCCCAAATCATGACTGACTGTGGATATTTCACACTGGACCTCAAGCAGCTTGGGTTCTGTTCCTCACCCGTCTTCCTCCAAACCCTTGGACCTTGATTCCCAAATGAAAGGCACACTTTACTTTCATCGGAAAAGAGGACCTTGGACCACTGGCCAACAGTCCAGTCCTTCTTCTCCTTGGCCCAGTTGAGCCGCTTCCTACGTTGGCTCTGGTTCAGAAGTGGCTTGACCCGAGGAACCCGACAGCTGTAGCCCATCTCCCGGATTCGTCTGAATGTGGTGGTTTTTGAAGCTGTGACTCCTGCCTCAGTCCACTCTTTCTGGATCTCTGCCAGATTCTTGAATCTTCTCTGTTTGAGAATCCGCTGAAGCCCACGGTCATCTCTTTTGCTAGTGCATCTTCTCCTGCCACATTTTTCCCTTCCACTAGACTTTCCATTGATATGCTTGGACACAGCACTCTGTGAACAGCCAGCCTCCTTAGCTATAAACTTTTGAGGTTTACCCATCCTATGGAGGGTATCAATGATGGTCTCCTGGGCAGTTGTCATGTCTGCAGTCTTCCCCATATCGAACCGAACTGAGACAATTGAACCAAACCAAAGCAAATAAATAACACCTGGGGAAACCTGTGAAGGTGCTTTGAGTTTAGTAGATGATTGGTGTGTGACACTCAGTTTAAAACATTCATGCCCTGATGATTTCTTCACAGTATTCTAATTTATTGAAATCCTGTTTTTGTGGGTTTTATGAGCTGGAAGCCAAAATTATGTAAAAAATAAACAAATAAATACCTGAAATTGATTAAATTGTGGCCCATGAATCTATGAATATATGAAAGTTTAACTTTCGGAATGGAATTATGGAAATTAAACAACTTTTTCACGATATTTATATATATATATATATATATATATATACTGCATATATATATATATACTGCATGTATATATATATACACATATATACAGAGTATATATGTGTATATATATATAAATATACATATATATGAATATATGTATATATATTATACATATATATGTATATATATACTGTATATATGTGAATTCATCTGAATACTCTAATAATAATATCTTTTCTAAAAGTGCGTATTTGCAGGCAGTAATGCTTGTTACCATGATGTTAGACCCAGGGGTTTTGAAAAACCTCCTTATTTCTTCCCAGGTGTAGGCCCTCTGTTCAGGCCTGGGATCCGACTGCTTCTTCCTGTAGCTCCACCTCTGGCTCCGACTGTCAACCTCTGATTTCGATTAGCTCCTCCATCGGCCCGGCCTGGACGCAGACACAACACAATACACACACCCTTTTACAAATCTTTTGCCACAACTCCTGACACAAAGAGGTGTTTTTACTGTGCATGCTGTTGCACAAGAGGAAAACTGGAACTGCCAGTGATGACTGTAAACAGTTTCCTGGTGTCACCTGTCACCTTAAATTAATTTGGAAATTTGCAACAATAGACATGTTGGTGTTCTTTTGTGCGGGGGTTTTCAAACTTTAGATTTTTTTTTTTACTAATGAAGAAAATGAATTGTTGGGGTTTTGCAAAGGAATCTTTGCCCATATTTGGTGTGTGACTTAAGACTGAACTGTCATTAAAATTGTCTGAAGCACTGGTCATTCATAATAGGGAACAAATCTGTACTACAGTACACATCAGCAGATATTTAGTTCTGTAATTTCTATAAATGCAGACTCATTAAAGTCATGGCAGAGTGAAGCCTTAATAAAGAATTAAATTAAAAAAATCTGTACATTTGTTGATAAAAGTTAGATTTGTCTTGTTTGTAATCTTACTTAAACTAGTTTTATATATATATACACATACATGTTTATTTGGGGGGTAGGGGGCTACAGTGTGTGTGAGCAGAGCAGCGGGTGCATGAATGACTTACCTTGTCCTGGCATGGTTCTCTGGGACACCGCAGTCCTGCGTGAGTTTTGTTTACAGCCGTCTCTGTCCATGAGGTGAGCCTTCCAGGCCTGCAGCAGGGACAAAGTAGCTCAGTGAGTCCGTCCCTCTGCCTAGTTACCCTCTCTTCTGAGACAACCACAGGTGACTGTGGGCCCAGTCAATACTCCAGTGGTTGCCCTCCCTGACACTAACACTGCAGTCTTTCATGAGGCCTGTGCTCTCCACTCTGGCAGCCAGTCTGTGACTTACTGTGAGTTTTTCCTGACTCAATTTAAGGATGTGTAGAGGTGCATTATAGGAATCACGTTCATAAAAATAAAAAAAATATGCACTACTTTTATTTTCCTCTGTATTTTTGTGGTTTTACAAAAAACTGTCCCTGTGATACATGCACACTGAATGCACTCCTCTGTGTTTCATGATACGTCTGACATCTGACCACTGATCAGTCACAGGTAATATCACACAGCTGGTATCAGATAACAGGAGGAAAGCACCTGCTGTGACATCACTTACCGGCTGTTGAGTCTTTTACTGAATTCCGACAAAGGTTGCAGAAGAGTAACGACAAGCAAATAAAACTATTCTGGTACACTGCAACCTTTTGTCTCCTTCATACAAACAGAGACACACACACACAGGATTCATGAAGGGCATCCAGCCAAGAGAAATCCAGCCATGTACACAAGCTGTGAATTAAATATTCTATTTGGTTTTGCTATGGTGCAAACATTAGGTCACAGATACTGATGTTGGCATTGGTACCGGACACGGTACTGCTACCGTACCAGGCAACCACCCCGCACCTTGACACGGAATGTTTGCCCTCATAATAGCCCTAGAATCCACGCTTTAAGGAGCAATCCCACATGGGCACGGTACAACAGTCCTAGTCTGAGTGTATTCCTAGTCACTAATTAGTTGAGACATTTAATTACTCAGCTACTTAGTTGTAAATTACACTTTGTTTACTGGAAAGCAGGAGTGTAAAGTTCACCTTAAATTTATTTTTAATACTAGATTTACCATGCTTTATCCTTCTCTGAGTTTCATTTTATTTTTTGATAAATATTTTTAAAATGTTATTGTATCTATAGTTCTATTTATATTATATATATATATACACATACATATATATACATAGATACATATATATATATATACACATACAAACCCATATATGCATACGTAAATACATATATACAGTATATGTCCATCATCCATATATATATATACGTATATATATATGTATATATATACATATATATGTATATATATATATGTATATATATACACATATATATGTATATATGTATATTATATATATATACATATATACATATATATATAAATTATTTCACTCAATTGATGTATTGAAAATTTTTAATGGGACAACTCTACCTGTTATATTATGACAGGGATAAATACACAAATAAAATGACAACAATTGACCTTTTCTCTTTCAACTAATAAAAATGTGAAGAATCCCACTGCATTGACTTCAATCTTGAGAGAATGGAAAACAGGCAATTAGGAACAAAGGGTTCTCCCTCTTTGAAGTCCATGAAAAGCAAGTTTATAACCTCAACACCTGTTTGTCCCTCAAACCTAACATTAGAGACTTTTTCTAGAGATGCTAGTTATACTAACAGGGAAAAGGCGAAGAAGACTAATGTACAGGAAAACACTCTAGGAAACACAGTGATTTATAAATCTGAAGTTCTCACACCCTGTATTTACTACAGGGGTCTGAAACTCTAAAGAGCTGAGGGCCACTACTGCCCCTGTCATTTCTATGGAGGGTCACATCAGCGCAAAAACCCAGTTTCGTCAGAATGTGAGAAACTTAACTGTAACAGCTCCGTTTTTTACATGTGTTTTTCAATTGTACCTCCTCTCCGGGGTGGAAGTTGTCATGACACAAAGGACAGTGGTTGGAACATTTGCTGGACACTGGAGCTGAAACGGAAACAGGGGAAAACCTGGTGAACACTCCAGAAAGAATCGGATTACAGCAGTGGAGCAGAAAAAGCATAACCTTTACCTTTATATACCTGAGATGAATGGGAACATGGTGAACTATCTTCATTTACAGTTTAAGTGTAAGCTAATACAGAAGATTTACTGTGTCACCAGCTCTGTTGACATTAGGGGGCATAATTAGAAGATTACAGAGATGTGGTGAATTCTCAGACCTACTCTGTTGGTGTTCTGGGTTCTGGTTCCTGGTTCTTAAACTAAAGCCATCAAATGTTTAGTAAATAAATGAGACAAAAACCACGGTTGTATTCCCCCCATTTAGGCAGCTTAGTCCATTTTTTATTTATTCTTGGGAAAACTTTTTCTAAGACTTTTTGGGAAAATTATTTACATGTATGTCAGTAATGATGAGAGGCGAATGTTTTTTTATGAATTTTAACTTTTAAAAAGGGCTTAGTTACATATTACTAGGAAATTTATTGCATTTTTATTCATTTTTGGAAACATTAAATTTTTTAAGACTTTTCTGGGAGATTATTTGCATGGATGTCAGTAGTGATCAATGGTGGATGTTCTAAAAATGAATTTTTTCTCTCAATTTTAAGCAATAAAATGGGCTTAGCAATGTTTTAGAGCAAATTAGTGCATTTGTATTCATTTTTGTGAACTCTTATTTTAAGACTTTCCATAGATGTCAGTAATAATCAAAGATGAATGTTCCATAACATGTGAGTTTCTGATATTTAGGCATTAAAATGGGCTTAGTTACATGTTTTGGGGCAATTCAGTGCACTTATTTATTTTTAGAGGACTTTTTTGGGAAATTATTTGCATAGATATCTGTAATAAGCAAAGGTGGATATTCCAAAAAATGCTAACCTTTAAAGGGGGCTCAGCTACATGTTTTTGGCAATTAAGTGCATTTTTACTCATTTTTGGAAACATTTTATTTTTATATTTGTTTTTTCCTTTATAAATATTTTGTGTTGGAAAGGTATTTGAACATATCTCTCGATTTCTTCTTCAAACTATATTTATTAATGCCATTTTGTATAGTAACTACAGTTATACTTTTATAACTTTTCCTATTTACTTTCAACAGCTGATCTAACAGACTCACGGTTGCAGGAAGGGCTCTGCAGATGTTGACTCAGATCTTTGGTGACCACGGCCTCAGAACAGCGCTGGCACTGGCTGAATTTGGAACTGCTTTCACAGTCCCCCAGGAGATGTTCTGTGAGGCTGACTATCTCCACGATCTGTGAACACACGGCAGAACACTTTAGAGACTCTTACAGTTGTTAACTGAGGAGGGTGTTCAAAAATGTGTCAGTCCACATACCTGTCTACACTCATTGCAGTGTTGCAGCATTGGACAGTGTTTCCAGTAATGAAGATCAAGACCATCTTCTGTGAACAACTTGTCCTTTTTACCACAAAATATACACAAGCTATAAAAAGAATATGAAGTAAATTAGAAAGTATCCTATCAAAGCAAAGCCATCAGTATAGAAATAAAAATATGACTTGTAAGGGAAGACCCTGTAGTTGTGTGCTGCACTGGAATGCAGTCACTTACTTGTCCTGGGAACTGATTGACTCTGAGACATCCTCTGTGTCTGTGATCTTCTGTGGGGCTTGAGTGACGGATTGAAATAAAAAAAAATGTATATGTCCAGAGTGCACCCATTAGTCATCACAAATTTAATAGCAAACAAATAAAAAAATCTAGGATTTAATGTTGTTCACGTCAACATTAAATCGCATCAAAACATGCATTTAAACATGGTTTTACAAATATATTTTGGAAAAAAAAAAATAGAAAACCATTTGGAGTTGACCTCTGTTCTTAGCTCTTTCAAGCATATTCTATTTGTGTGCAGCATACTGCAGCTAATTACTGCTTCACCATGCTTGGCCTGTGGCCTCAAATAATTTTCCTGCTCACAGCCCTTCTGGATTTGTATTCTATTACCAAGTCATCTAAAGTATTCTGGACCTAAACCAAATAGTGATCTGTGGACTAGTGGCATGAATTAGAAATCTACTCTGTAACCTACTCTGAGAGCCACTGAATTGAAGTGCACTGATCTCTTTGTTCTGTTCAACATGTGATAAACTTGACAGTCAGCAACAGAGTTCTTCAGATTTAGATCCAAAGCCATCATTTACAGGCCCAAAAGAAGAGTTCCAGAACGGATCTCTGAGGAACTCCACGTCATAGCCACTTGTTTGGCTTCTCTTCACAATCCTAGTCAACAGTGAGTTCAACATTATGCTGTGTTTCCATAGCATCAGACAAATAACAAAAACTGACATCATGAGTAAGTGATATTTAAATTTTCTTCTGTTTGTCATGACTGCACTGATTAATCAATTTCATTAGCAAACATAAAAAACACAGCACTTTTGAAGAAGATACTTGAATAGACGTAGACGTCTTTATATGTGACACTGTAGTGGAAAGATGCCGCTCAAACTCTCTGCTCTGGTCTTCCTGTTTTTGGCCACAAACTCCCCCGTTATGTGGTTTATGTGATAGAAAAATGTGATAGAAAAAAATGAGATCAAAAACGTTTCTACTATTAATGAGAACTATAACATTTTAGAACAACTTTTTTTATATATTTTAGATGGGGAGGAAAAAAGTTTTACTTATTAATTACCCTCCCCATCCCCCTTTGAAAGATTAAATTGTTTTCAATTGATTTGCACAGTTTTGTAGGTCACATTAATAGTGGAAAGGTTGTGGTCTCTTTTCTTATGACACAAAAAAACTTTGCATTTGAACAAGGGTGTAGGCCAGATAGGCTAGGCTACATCCAGATGATACCTTGCAGGCAGCAGGGCACATTTACCCAGAAACATTCATTAGGACAGTAGCGTAAGTGCTAGTCCATTACTACTAGGTTACTAGAAGGTAACCATTAGTATATCACAATCATCGGGTTCCATTGTGGAAAACAGAACACATTTCTAGGCATTAGTGTAAGTGCATACTAACTGACCTTAAATTTAAGAAAAGTGAACTACTACTACTGGACCCAAGTCCGCTTCCTTAACCACTAAGCCACCACTGCCACTTAAATGGTTTAAGGTGTTTATTCATTTTAAGAAAACAGAGGTTCTGACTTTCCTCTCACATCACTTACTTGTTTTGATACTTTTGTGTGTCTCTTTTTCAACATTGGGTGCTCCCTTCTTGGTCACTGGTGCTTTGGTGCCCTGTTTGACACTCTCCTTCACAAACAGAGGGAATGTTTCAAACAGAAATGCAACCAGTCAGTGAACTATTTAAAAATGAATTGGTGACTTCAGATGAAGTCAGTTTAATGAATGTTGACATTTCCAAGACTCATGTCTGCACGGTTCTATACACAGTAGTAGACATTATAAGACGTGATGTAATGAAAGTCAGATGAGGACTCCACCTACTGTGAACAGTGTAGGTGCAGCCAGCTGTTCCTGAGGAGAGGGGATCTCCTGCTGCACACCACTTCCCTTCTTCAGAGTCTGCATTGGAACATAGAGAACTAATTAAGAATAGACTGCAATGTTATAATCCTACAGCAAATTACATATGACTTGTTTTTTTAAAGCTGCTGAGCATAAGTTCTTTATATTTAGTAAACTGACAGTAATGTAAAGTCCATTAGAAAATGGTAAGGTTATATCTCTAATGATGCCAAGACATTAGGCTCAGTAAGTGGAGGGGTTTTGGAAAACAGACTTCCACATACTGGATGCAACGTGATTACAGTTATAGAAAATGTATATTTTCATTTTCTGAGTCAATTAAAAATGTTTCATTTTCAATGAAATGCTAAATAAACCATCAATACCACCAACATGTGAATACAAGCCTAGGATGTAGAATACAAAAGCAAACTTCCTCTTTCTTTTTTCATGTAACAAGAACAAGTCATGGTTTCAAGTTCCATTTTCTCGAGAGTTCTTTTTAACCACAGTCATTCTATCTGTTGTGTCTGACAGTTTCTGTGTCCATCTACCAGCTGCTCCTTCAACTCTATAACATTAAGCAGCTGTATCTGCAAATATTCATTAGAATTAGAAGAAGAAAAAAAACTCTTCTTGCCTGAGTCTCCATCAGCTTCCCATCCATTTTGGCAAAGCCATCAAAGAGGGTTTTGTAGAGAAAGGTTTTCCTCAAAGCACTGTCACTGGGAGGGAGATAGTTAAGAAGTGCATCACCGTCTTGCTGGTACATGGACATGATTATGCGCACTGCTGGTACCCGCACTGGCGCTGCACTGTGCTGGAGAGCTGCTGAACAGAACTGAAAATAAAAATAAAACATATTCATGAGGTCAGTAGTTTGAGACTGCAATTCAAACATTTGTGAATGCCCACATATAAAGGTATGGGCTTTATTATGGATTTCAAGTTGGACAACTGTAGTGGAAGGCAGAAAGTGATAGACAACATCACCTGCAGGTCACCCTCTCAGTGCAAAAAGACCCAGAGACTTTAAAAAAAAATTGCACAAACAAAAGCCAGAAACTGCAGCTGAATGTCCATCGCTTTTGACTGACTTTTACAAAGATCTCATCACACCATGGGGAAGACAGCCACATAAGATAAACAGGTCTGCATCATTAAAAGTGAATGAACTCTAAATTAGTTTAACACAGAAATGTTATTCCTGTCCTTGTGCTTTGATAAACAAAGGTTCAAGTAGACAGTGTATAGATGATAATTCTTTTAAAAAATAGATTCCTCAAACAGGGGATGACAGCATATATATTCTATTTTCTGTGGTTAAATGTACTCTGCACTGCTGAGGAGGTACATCACTGGAAAAAAGATACCCATTAGCTGACATAATCTCTAGAGAAAATAGTCACAATGCAATGGCCTTTAAGTGTTGGACAACAGGATTATCTGGAGGGAAAACTGCATACAAAGGCCAACCATCTTTGGCTTATCAGTGCATCTGACAGCTATTATTCTCTGTTTTCTATTCAAGAAATTCAATCTGAAATTCAATCTGCCTCATTTATTTTTTCACTTAGAAGCCTGCGTCTGAGTGGATCACCTAGGTCACATAGGAGAGAAAGGCAAAACTGTTCAAATCAAACACAGGTTAACACTGCTGAAGGAGTCGGACGCACAAACACGTGTGGACGTGAGATGTAATTTCTCAATATTTTTACAGAGGAAAACTCTTACTAACGCTGTGGCTTCAATTACTTCTTTTTTTTCTGGTTTGAAAACAAACAACAACTTAATATGTCCTTCAGGTTCACTTTTAAAACTGTTGATTCTATGCCTAAAGAGTTCCCAAGGTTCTATAAATGTTTTGGGTCCTTGTCGTCAGTGCTGCCGATAAGGGCTGATTGATATGCAAGTGAATGCAGTTAAATCTAGAAAAGTATCTTCACGTGTTTATCACAGAGATGTCGGACGTTTATCTGAGCTAAGCTCCTGATGTCGTCACGTTGAAGACCTTTCTTTTTGGTTATTCTTTATGTTCAAATTAGTGTCAACAGTGACAGTTGTCTGGCAAATTTTAAACTTTGTTGATAGATCCATACATGCACATTTCTTGAATATTTTTTTTTCTGTCAGAGGACAGTGGCCCACGAAAGTGACAGCCGCCTGCTAGTCCTAGTTTATTTTAATTCTGTGTAAATAAATAAATAAATTCCTTGAACACATTTTTCTTTACAAGAAAACATATTTAACTTTCATCATTTTTAACCATAAAAAAACACTGTTTTAACAGTGACGTTTGTCGATTGTCATGTAATCTCATTAAAGTATGTATTCACTCAGAGAACTGATGCCTGGATGACTATTTTTTTTTGTTACGGCAACAGCTAAACTGATATGATTTACAAATCTAAAGGAAACAGCACAAAACTAACTTGTCTGAGAACAAAACCAAAGCACAAAACATCAAATTACGTCAGCGATAACCCATTTTTGCACTTCTGATATCAGAAGTGAAGATAAACCAAAGCTGATAACAGACACCTAAAGAAGTTATTTTTATATTGTGCTACTGTTGCAAGGTTGGCTGACTGAATAAAGCAATGGAAGAAGTGAAGTGACGAAGTGAGTAAAGTATAGCTCAGGGGAGTGTGCAGCCCTCCTGTCACATCTCCATCAAGACACTTATGTTTCCCAAGCAAACATGGGAGGCAGCCAACACAAAAGAAGGCCGTCTCCAAGCAAGCATGCACAAACAGGACACCCAGTGACACCTGTGAAGCCTCAGAAGTCAGGGGAGCCCAGAGGACAAACCTAACAATTTGCTCTCAATGATAAAAGCCATGCAGAGTGAGAAGGAGGGGGTTGACTGGAGGGGTGGGGGGAAGGGCAGTGAGAGAGTAGCAGTTGTAAAGTTCGGGAAGGTGGGGGGTGGGGGCAGGGCAGTGTTGTCCTCTTCGGCCTGGTCACCAGTTGGAGAGTTTACATGTAAATATTAGATCACTGCAGGGAAGCAGTAGTTGCAGGGGATGAGAAGTGGAGTCCGGTGGTGGCAAATTTGACTCAGCTAGAAGTTCTATTTCTGACAGCCCATTGGGCTGGAAACAAAACAAATCAAAGGTCTACCACACAAGAGCTGCTCTCCTGTCAGACACTCAAAATTACTCACCTGAAATGTAATGGAAAACCAGTGACACGGATGATTGTTTTCCAAACTCTGAATGTAATGAATGTGTCATAAAGTTCATGTGCCATCTTGTTACGGAAGGTATGTTAGACTTCTTGTTTCCTCATGTGTAAAGATTACACCTGGAGACTTGATATTCAGTCAAGGACACAATAACAGTCGTTGACAGCTTTTAAGAAGACAGCTTGTGGACGAGCTGGTAAACGTTCAGTGACAACTGAGGACAAGACCACCAAAAAACTGCTGCTTCTTTACACATCACAGATGACTGTCTGTTGATGTTATGGTGCAATCGTTTGACAGTTTTTGTAATGGTCATATTATCAAAACTAGAATAAACAAACAGGATAAGGAATTTAGCTTGGTATATCTGTGAATTAAAATATCATATTATAAAAAGAAAATAAAAAGCCAGAGATGTGAAAATTATTTTTGCACTCTAATAAAAGACTATAAAATGTGGCTTCTTTTTAGTATTTTGAAAATATCAATGTATTTTTATATTTCAAAATAGGAATGTTCTAAACACAGACTCATATAAGCAAGAATACCCCAAATATCTGCCAATCATTGACATTAATGTATCCTAGTTTTATACAGTAAATGACATATTTATTTTGTTTTAAATAATACCAATGAAACAATTGTTTTTTTGTACAAATGTGATCCTTTCTCCTTCTGTACTTAGGAAATGAAAGGAGATTATTTAAAAAAAAAGTCTATCTACATCTGAATCAAACTGAATCAAATCCATCTGACATTTTCATGAATGTATTGTTCTCTTTCCAGTTTGGTTCCTCAGCACATAGGAAACTGACCAACTGACTTGGCAGAACTTCCTTTGACAGTTTGCCCATCTGTGCTGTGAAGGAAGATTAAAAAAAAGAAAAAAGATTTGTACCCACTGGTTTGGGAACCTCCCATGAGGTGGAGGGTTTGTGGTTAAAATATTTTTGAAAGTTTCTGCAAGAAGTTGAAAATGGGAAGTGTATATAAAAACATTGCATACTCATCAGAAAATAGGAATTATTACTATAATTATTATTATTTTCATAGTACATATATGTATATATATATATATATATATATATACATTAATATACAAAATATATGTAGCTTACAGTGGGTGCAACTTTATTTCTGCTACAGATGTCTTTGTATGTATGGCTATGTTTTGGGGTCATTTACCATCATGACATTGTCCAGAGTGAAGCCAGAGTTGTCTGTACCCAGTTCAACGAGCAGGCCCTCAAGCAGCTCAACCTGACTCCGTGCCAGACGAGAGGGAAAGCTTGATTTGAAGGGCTTCACCAGCTCACAGGGTATTATCTGCAGCGCCCGAATATCCTTCAGGACAGCAATTTCCTAAAAGAAAGGAGAACATCACAAGGAGTGCAGGGAATTTACTGATACAATCATGCAAAATCTCTGCACCTTTCAAACGAAGTAACATTGGTGCTTATAGAAGCTTAGACAAACCATGAGACATCACAGAGCGATTTGTCAATCATCACAAGCAACCGGACAAGAGACACGTCTTGAAAGAGATTACAAGTCAACTAAGTGCGGCAAGAAGGAGGAAGTAACTTGTCTCAGTTCTTTTCGATTTTAGGCTCCTGAGGTGAGCAGACAAATGTCAGAGGGATTGACATCCAAGCAGGAACATATTTATATTATCGACATGTGGAAAGTACAGAAGTACAGAAAAAAAAACATAATAAATAAAGACAATGTTTTCCAGCTCATTCATTCAGATTACACTTCTAAGCACTAGCTCGGAGACAGGCACACAGACGTCCGTGTAAAACATTACTCACAGTTACCGGTTGCAAGAGTTACAACATCCAGCGATTATTTTACAAATAAACAAAAGCCTGGGGCAAACAATGACTACAGCCTGTAAATCACAATTTGCTGTATATAAGGCTCTAGGGGGTAAATAAAATGGGTAAATAAGTCAGTGTAACTGAAGATGTGAACAGGAGACAAAGAATACATGGCCAGTGTAATATTGCATGTTATTTCACACTTTGTGATGCACAGAAAAAAAGGAATAGAAAATTAACTTTCAGCATTTCTGTTGAGCAACACATGAAAAGAGGAAACTATGGAAAAAACCTTTGCTGTGTTCAATTAATGGAAATGTTGCATATCCTTGGGCTTCTCCACAGTCTGTGTGTTTCAGGCTGTCTCATTCTTCTGGTCACAGTGCGTCAAATTTGGTCTATGCACTAGCAACAGGCAGCTGTGAACTGCAGGCAGGTCAGTGGAAAAACATGCACTCTAAATCTGTGAAGCTGGACATCTCCAGTTTGTATATAATGCAGCCAGACAGTCTTACAAAAAAAATCAAGCTTCTAGGAAAGGTTGTTGACTTAATGAAGCCAAATGATTTATTTGTAGGGTTTGTAAGTGAACAGATTTGACATCAAATGTATGTTAGTTAGAATAGATTAGACATTAGCAACACATTTTGATATTTTAGAGGGATGATAGAGAAAGGCTTATTAGTTTATCTTTAAAAACATAGAGTATAAATAGTGGCGCTTTGGCCCAGAGGCAATGTCTCTGTCATTGGTGTGGAACCCCAGCGTTCACCTCCAAGATCGAATCCCACTTAGGGTGGTTGGTACCTTCCAGTGGACTCACCACCCGCAGGAAGGTTCAGGGGGTTTGGTACGGTGCAGTGTGATTTGGGTGGTGGTCATGGAGACTGCTGCCCCCGCGTAACGGATAAGCGGATGAAAATGGATGGATGGATGGAGCATAAATAACAAACTAAGCCAATAGTGTGTGATTTCAAATCAATCAGCCAGTCTATCCTGACTGGTAGAATACCTGTATGAAGATAACAGCCATGTCTCGGAGCCGACTGGCCGAATCTCCAGTCCTAGTCAGCAGGTTGGGCCAGGTTTGTTCCAAACAGTAGATTAACTCTGACCGGGCCAGGCCCAGACCTGGGATCAGGTCAGTCAGCATTAGTCGCAGCAACTTTAAGGCAGCCTGGAATACCTGAGAAAAAGCAGAGGATAATTGTATCAAAACATAAAGCTTTTAAAGGGAAAACCACAAAGATGTTGATAACTGTGCACATGACAGGACAAAAAAAGAGTTAAGTGACGTATTAATAAAAAGTCAACTAACCTGTTTCCTATACTCTAAACAAAATAAACATGTAAATAGCAAACACCTGAGGCAACATTAATACAGTGCTGTAACAACGTGATCTGTTACACTGAGGTGTCAGAGAACAGTGTATATATGTGTTTACATCTTAAAGGAGCTTTCTGTTTAAATAAATCAAGAGAATTATTCCAGCAACACTACTGGTTCCATACCAACTGTACAACAACTTCCAGAGAAGTCACAAGGCCATCCTTGTCAAAACATGTTTGTATAAGGAAGCCGGCTCTGGGAAACCGAACAGGAGGCTGAATGTGGTACAGGGGCAACATTGTGAGCACTTTGGATGTGTGATTGTGCAACTATGTTTTCGCATCAGGAACATTTTAGCTCCATTTGTAGCAGGAACACAGAAAACACAGTTCCGTTTTGTAAAAGTGCGATGGTGTGGAATTAATATCTCCACTTCTTTTTTTAAATATGCTGCTCGTGAATCTAACTAACGTGAGCTGTTTGAGCCAAAGTCTGACCGAGGATATTTTATCCTGGAGGCCTTTCTTCACCAGGAAGACTGCAGCTCTCATCATGTTCCTCAGCTCCTCTTTGGGGGTGGTGGTGGGTGACACCTCCTGCAGCCTCTTGTGCAAATCCAGCAGTGCATCCTCTCTGTAAGACCAGGTTTTGGAATAAGCCCCCGCCACCTGGGAGAAGATGGTAAAGACTATCACACAGATTTCCTACATATGGGAAAATTGGCATCTGCTGTAGAGCAGGTTACCAAGGCACCCCCATACTGCAATGGCTTCTGACCTTTCCAAACTCACAGACGGTGGTATAAAACAAGTAAAGAAACATTTTTTTTACTTTTAGAATGTATTTTTTACTTTGGATAATAACAGTAGGACGACATATTTTAGAATATCATCATTCAATAAATATGTTTGCATAATATATACAATTTTTATTTCATATCATCAGTAAAAAATAGCTTGTTGGAATGCTGCGGTGTTCACAGGGAAATTGGTCATCCAAGACCTGTTTAACTTTACACACCATTTCATTCTTTGTTGGTTACGATTTTATAGGCTACAAATTCCACTCTCAGAGACCCTGGTTTCCTATAGCTGCAGGTCCCTGTTTTCAGCAGGGAACTTTCAATAAAACCACCTCTTAAAACCAGTTAGCATTGAATGTAAATTAGAAGATTTTTTTTTCGTAATTCTATTTGATCATTTAGATTAAATCCTCTGAGTGTTTTTCCATTTTCTTTTCTTACCAGGCTTTCTCCGTAAACATCTATAGGAAGTCCAGCTTCTATTTGGGCTTTTTTGGTCAGTTGCTCAGGCTCGACGCTCACCTCAGCGAGAGGTGGAGACCCAAAGGTGCACAGTTGTGGGATTTTCTGGAATACGGGGCTTTGAAGAAGTTCTGCCGTCTTTCTGTCTTTTCTATGAAGAGCTGGGAGTGGCCTCTCATCATAAGTCCTACTTGTTGACTGTCAAACCAAAAAAAAAGAAATCATTGATTGTTTTATCTATTATTTGATTTAAAGCAAGTGTGGGTAAGTTTCTCAAATTTAGAAACTACATGCTAGGTGTCTTATCTGCATCTCTTATCATCATCTTTCTCCAACAAACTCTCTCTGACCCATTGTTATGTTGTCATCTGAAATAAACAGACTAGACAGGTATGTGCTCAAACAAGACTTACAATGTGTTCGCAATTTAGTAGATGAGCAAAATTTCTTACAATTACAATGAACAAATGTTGTCATAAAATAAAAAATATATCAGAGATAGCTTTTGGATTACATAAAACAATTTATCTTGAATGTTTTATATGGCAATGATGAGGAACAATGTTTAAAATAAATGTTGAATTCTTGCATCTTATGTCCTTTGTTATCTCCTGTGACAGACAATGGCATTGCAGAAGGGTCAAAGCTGTGCCTTAGGTCCAGGTTGGCAGCCACCAGAGTTAGCCATCCGTTTCAGGCTTTTAATTAAATAGTGAAACTTAAACCTGTAGCAAAGCTGCTCTCAGTAGGTGGTAAGTAATGCATAAAAGACCCCACTTGTCACAGTCTCTCTCTGTGTTCTCCCTGCTCTAACAATACAGAGACTTGGGCCAGACATGTGTCACCAAAGTGATTCCAGTTATAATCCACTCGTCCAGGATTCATTCAATCAAAGAGGGCTTTGGGTTTTGTCATTGATGCAGTCTGTGTTTCTGTTTCGGAACATGTTCTACACAGTGTGGAGACGGGCCCATATGTGTGGTGCAGCTTCACCACCTTGGATAATGTTACACTTACGTCTGTCATTGTATCAGCTTGAACAGCAGGGATGCAAAGGTTTTCAGGCTGACTGCTTAATTTAGGCAAAACTGCTTCTGTAGCTGATTGTTGATCCTGGGGAGTGTTTTTTTTCTTCCCTGTTCTGACTGTGTCTGTAGACACAAGGAGTTGGGCAGGGACTGAACAGTAACCTGGTGAAGGCAGAGTTGAGGGAGGACCTGGTGGGGGGGACAACTCTCTGGCTCTGGTGACCTGGTGACAAAGTCAGGGAGTCAGAATTGGCTATAGTCATCATCATGAAATGATTCCAGATAATAGTGACTGACCAGTGATATGTCCAGCAGGTTGTGGACCTCCAGCTGCTTGTAGACACTCCTCCTATAGTTCTCCATCAGCTCTTTCTTCTTCTTGGCCAGATCGTAGTCCTCTTTTTCTATGGCACATCGCTTCTCTATGTCATATTGGGCCAAACGCTCTCCAACCTGAAAGAGCCAGACACAAACATCCCAGCACATGTTTAGACAGGTTATTGCAGATAGAAGATTGTTGTCTTCCTATAGTGTCAGGATGTCCTGGCATTATGTAATTTTTATACCTGCACTACTGCCAATATGAGAGGATGTTTTATTACTTTGACCCAAGGCTATTGAAAGAAAAAAGTATTATTATTCTCCATCTGTGGTTCCAGCAGCACTGACAGACCGTACAGTGTATTTTGAAAATTTGAAAAAAAGAACAAACAAAAAAAAAGCCCATTTTAAATCAATTAATTTCTTTAAATTTCTTGTATGCAAATGTATTGGTCACCAAAACTGTGATAAAGTGTCTGCCTACTCTTTAGTCCCAGTTTGGACAACAAAGTAAATATTCTCTAACCTGCCAAAATCTAGAATGTATAATGTATTTAAAAACAAGCTGGTTTGACTTACTCCAATGTGACTACATGATAAAGGACGAGCAAGTCAAGCATGACAACTGTAACACTGATTTCAAATTTATGTTGACATTTATGTTTAAGTTGGTCGAGCTAAGGTATCAGAAGCTGACCTGAAACTGGTCAAATTGGGTTACTGGTTTGTTCAGAGTTATTCTTAGGCAGTTAGAAATATGAATCCTGTCTTGGAAATAATTTGGTCATCACATCCTCCACTACACTCCCCAAACACAGAAAGAAAGAAAGAAAAACTAAGGTTCAAGCATAAAAATATACAGAGAAATGAGTGAAACTTCAGAGTAGAGTACCTGTATGCATTTAAACAAGCTCTTAAATTCGTGGAATTCCATTGTAGTTGCTGTAAGTTCCAGTAAGTGCAAACCTGTAATTTCCTTGTGTGGAAATTCCACTTGGCTATATAAAGTTGCTAGCCAGGTTTTGGGTATTACGGTCTGAAGTGAACTGAGAGTCCTTCCTCATGTTTGGACCAAACATGTTGTCTCTTAATCACCATGAAGAGACATAGCAGAAAGTCAGTCATCTATTGGTATTGTCTCAACTCTGCTCTGTCTTAACAGATATCAATAAAACCAGTCCCATGGCATCGCAACTGTGTGACAACAAGAACACATTTTCAGCATGACCACCTTGGCGACTGGTTGTTCACAGCGATAATATACTGACGCTAACAAGGTGCTGGTGTTGACGAGTTATCTGGTTACAGAAAAGCCTGTGGTCACTGTGGTGAAGACATGACTCAGGGACCATCAGCTGTCAAGCTAATTAAAAATGCATGGTCACCATGGAGGCCCTGTACACAAGGAGGGTGGGTAATAGGAATCTGAACAAATGTCTGACAACTACTTGTAAATAATGACAGAAAAGTGTACAACAAAGTAGCAACCGAAAATAAAAAAGATTTAGTTTCATAGTGGTGGTCATGTCCAATGGTCTGCACAGGAGCTTAAACCTGTGGAAAAAATAATTCACTTCAATGTATTACATATTATGACTACTATGTTTAGCACTTCAGTATATTCAGCATGTTTTGTTTTTAACAGCGGGATAAAGAAATGTATGTATGTAAATCGGCAGATGTAGAGCTGATAGTGTAGTTAAAAGTTGGAAAATTAGATCACAATCATCTGCTTTTTTCCAGGAAGACTACCAGGTTGGGAACAGGGGGTGGGGAAGATGGACTGAGAGTCTGCCTTTGAGTAAACATTCTACTTGTTTGTGCTTATACAAAGAGCCTTTCTGTGAATCCCATTAATTCATAATGACACTGTCGTTTGGTAAATATTTACACATACCTACACCTTTAAAGATCACTGATAAGGAATTTCTACTTAGTGAGGCAATTGCAAAAATCCATTCAAAGGTGACAGAATCCTTTAACCACTGCAAGGACACATCCTTGGGATCTGTGGGACATTTTATTCCGCTATGTGAGAAACAAACGTGTGGCCTATGAGGTATAGTACCTTCTGCAGGTCGGCGATGGCCTGCTTCAGATTCTTGGCCTGCTCATATTTCTCCTGTCGGACCATGTCCTGCTTCTTTTGGTCCATGAGGCGGATGATGTGAGCAACTTCAGGGTCCTGGTACATCTCAAAGGCCAGGTCATCGAATGGGGAGATGGAGTCACTTTTTCTAGATTCAACAAAGAACACAGATGTCTTAATTGCATTTCACAGAGCTTTCAATTAGATATAAAAGACAACACAGTTTGGATGCTTATCAATTTATCCCTAATGTGAATGTTTCATGGGGGATACATTTTTTAAAAATGATTGAGAAACTTGTTTTCTTCTTTGCACAGGCCACCACCTGCTTTGCTTTAAACGCTGTGCTTGGCCTGGTGACTCAAGGGCTTTGATGCAAAGTGTTATCGTCACAAGAGAAAGAAACTCAGGTTCAATGTCCCAGTCTCACCCCATGGAGGTTGTGTCCAAGGCGACGTCCAGCTGAGTGCTTTTGAGGTAATGTTCGATCAGCTGCTCTCGGCTTGGCTGGGTGTAACCAGATGGACAAGTTAGCAACATTTCCGGTCATCTTTCTGTGCTACATTAAACCTGATCAATCCCACTGACCTCTCACATTTACAATTTAAATGTATCCTTTAGCTTAACTACACACCCAGAGACTGTCCTTTTTGAAAGTGATAATTTGTCACAATTATCACTGTTAAAGCTGGTCCAATAAAGGTTTAAGATGTATTATACCCCGCGCATTACATACATTAGTTTTGTTGGGGGGGGGGGGGTCCAGAACAATCCAGGTTACAAACCATGAACTAAATAAGTAAACACCCAAAAATCTCTCTCTTCAAGAGCTTTGTGACTAAGATGCTGATCTGCATCACCAGCTACTCTTCAAAAACTGCTAATTTATAACACTCAAGCACATTGTGTAAATTTCAGATCAGCCAATGGTGCAATAATGGTGCTTTTCTTTTACTGCTCAGCAGGCAGCTCTGAGCATCCTCCTCAGAACTTGTACTTGAGCAAAACAGCCAATGCCACACACTCGTTCTTTCTCGTTCCTCGCTGGGAGAAGCAGAAGAATCATGTGTACCTGCTGCAAAGGTAAAGGTTTACTTGACAAAGCTTCAGGCAGATCACTGGTGGAGGTGCTTAGGGTCGGATTAGTGAGGCAACAATGCTAAGCCTGTTCAATGGAATCTGTGCGAGCATGTGTCCCTATCTTCCCCATCTCTGTGTGAGTGAATGTGTGTGAATAAAGGCACACCTGTGTGTGTATGTGTGAGTGGTCTAGGTATAGCTAACCTCGTCTTGTATCCCAGGTTTGTAACTACTGTTGTGACACAAGGGACAAGCTGAACATGATCCTTCTTATAAATTAAATCAAATTTTCTGTATGTAATAATATCTGACTCATCCCTTATATAGTTTTAAAATGAATATGAATGAAAAAATAAACACTTAATACACAGGACCTTTGAATAAAAACAAATATTCAAAAAAATATAGATAGTTATATATAAATACTACTTTTTCGTTGATGTGACTGCCAATAAAATGAAACGGTGACTTTTTCACAATGACAGAGAAAAGATTGACAATGCAACACTGCCGCCTAGTGTTTCCGCTAAACAAATGGGAAAACAGTGAAGGGTGCCACGTGATAGAAGTGCTCACTTACAATTGTATGAAAAGCGTTGCCATCCAAAAAATCTGCCAGTACATTTATAGCAACCAAGGCAACCTAAAATCACAAAAGCAATTGGGGAGAACTTGAAGTTAAAACAAAATAGATGGTAAAAAGACAACAATCAACAGCAACGTTTATGTTATGTGTGACATATGATTGTCCTTTAACAACATTAAAGGAAAGATTAACAACAGTCAGTTTTTAATGCAAGATAAAATTCAATGTTTCCCACATTGATTCAAACTTGATTTGTGCAGTATACTCTCTGTAAAAGACGGCCATCAACATCTTTCTTTAAATCGCATTTAAACAAACCTGATGGTGTTGATTGTATCCATTGAGATGGTTCTTGTGAAATGTTATTTTCAGGTACATTCCAATGGCATCAACATGGACCGACTTCAGCTCCCGTGCTTTGTACCCTGTCTTCTCATTGTCTGACAGAGACACATACCTGTATGCAAGAGTGCAGACTAAATTTTATAACTACTCAAACATTGTGGTAGAAAATATGAAGCTTAGTATAATGCTAATTTCCTATTTTTGAAGACAAAATATGTTTTTGTTCTTCTAGGATTCAAATCACATTCTCTGCATGCATACAAGTCACGTACCCGAGCCTGCGAAGCTGCCCTGGGAGTACTGGAGTGCTGGTTTCAGGGAGAATGTCTCCAATGTGGAACTCCACCTTTGTCGGGATCAGGTACTGATGAGCCAGAAGCTGCAGCTTCCTCACGCGACATCTGTCAAGCAGCTGGATGGTGATGTGTTGAGGGTATGAGCACAGCCTATGAGATAAGATGTAATGTGCAGGATGTAGTACATAAGCTATATGTGGTGCTTAAAAAATCGTATTTTTCCCCCTCTGTCCAGGCACATTATTTTTTTAAATATTAATAAAACTCAGATGTCATTGTTGTTTTGTTTTTGTTTTTTGTTTGTTTTTTGCTGCAGATTAATGCAAAAAAGAAAACAGCCATTAAACACACGCACTGGAGGGAATTAACACAACTTGTACTAACATTTCCTAATGTTTGCATAATACATGTTATCTATCTATCAATTAAACAAAATTATCAAAAGGAAGGAAGAAAATAAGAAAAAGCGCCCCACTTTGTAGATCAAAATATTGTTGAGCCCTGTCACATTGACAAGTTACAGCTACTACCTCAAAACTCAAATGAACTATATTTAAAACACTGTTGCTACAGCTGATGCTGTTAAACTAAGGAAATAAAATTACAAATAGATGCAAGAAACTGCTGACATTGAAATCATTGGTCTTGCTGCACCCCCATTGCAATAGCTCTGCACCCCTTATGCGAGACCATTTTATAAAGGTTTGTTGACACTGAATATTTTCAAAGGTGTTTATGTACCTGCTGGATCTCCAGCCATTGGCTGTCGGAGCATGGACCATAAGCTCCTGGGCTGAGAAGTTGTCCTCATGGCTTGAAGATTTGACTACAACAAATCCTATCTTTTTTGGCATCCCTCTGATAAACACTGTGAAATGGAAGAGTCTGTGCAGCTTAATTCTTTTGAACAGCAACAAACCTTTATAACGAAAGAAAACTTGCCAATGTTATACCTTTTGTTCCAGGTAAAAATTGTCTAAATTAGTTTAAGGTTGATTAAGTTGGTTGGTTAAAACACCTAAAGTCTTTATCTGGATTATATTTATGGAAATATACTCTAAACAGATTATGGTTCTCTTTAGGCAATATAAGTTAAGCAAGAGAAATATATTTTACGCTCATGAAAACATGTTCACCTGATAGCAAGATTGACGGGTGGGCATGGGTATTAGCGAACGGCTAACTTCTTAAAATACTGTAGTCAAAACCTGACATTTTCAATTTGTAACTTGCAAATAGTTTAAAGAAAAGAAACAATAAATTCCTGGTGTGTTAAAAGCCTTCTTACCACCAACATCACGGTAAACCTGACAGCTTGTTGGTCCATTTCATCTCCATAACCACCGCAGATAACGTCTCTGACATGCGCAAGAGCGAGATTATCCAATGGCCAATAGTCTTGTGGGAATTGTAGTTTTTTGTGTTTTACAAAATTAAAACATATTTTTATTTTCTTCGCCATACAGTAAGGTTTGCATGTGATGTGCATATACCTTGTGGTTTTTGTTTTAGCCATTATCAAGCACTGAACCTCAAAACCCGTCGAGATATGTCTTCCTGTTCGACACAACCCAACTTTACGGCAGTTTTCCAACAGGAAATGTAAGGGTCTTCAAAATATAAGCACAAGTATCGTCGTCTTTCAAATAGACGAATTTAGTTAGTAGTTTAGTTAGTTTCTTGATCTATTTATTTTGCTAATAATATTGATAATATAACAGGTGAAATTATGGAACATTAGTAAATTATTATCATCGATGCCCAAAAAATAATGACAGGTTAAGCAAAGGACTTTGCCACGTGACAATAGTATAGCCAAAATGTTCACAGACGTTACAATTATTTTATGAATACTTATCAATATGTGTCATTTTTTAAAATATATGTTTTCATACCATTATTCTGAGCAATATTTACTGTCTTGTATTTTATACAGTCATTATAAGAAAAAAAACAATTTTGTTTTGAAAACAAAAGGCGGAAGTAGTACTTTTTTAAGCTTCTCGGCGACTTATACAGGTTAAAGGCAAGCATGGGTGACTTGGAAAAATGGCCAGAAATAGAAAAAGTAGCTACAGAAAAGAGACGTGAGTTGGTCTTACAGGGTGCCGATGTAGACAAGAGAATTTCACCTGAAGGAGGACTTCCTTCTTCCATCTATTCCCTCTCACTGCTGAATTATCTCGAAGTTAGCCAGTGCCCAAGTTTGACAGAGATTCCCGAGGACATCCAGCGTCTCATAAATCTCCAGAGCCTCATCGTGTGCAGAAACAAACTTACCATTATCCCCAGTGCCATCGGCCGCCTGAAGTCTCTTAAAGTCCTGGACCTGTCAGTCAACAACCTGACGGTTTTACCGGACAGCATCGTCCAGTTAGGAGAGCTAACCACCCTGAACGTAAGCTGCAACAAGCTAGAGGTGCTTCCGGACGACCTAAGTCAGTGCTCCAAGCTCTCCACCATCAACATCTCCAAGAACAACAACACTTTCTACTGTGAGCGATTTGAACTTCTCAGCACCTTGATTGCCTCTGACAACTGCATCCAAGAGCTGAACGGTGACATCTACAAGCTACCAGCTCTAAAGGTGGACCACAGATTTGTCCTTAACCAGGTTTTATTCGACAACGAAATGATCTTTTGTTCTGTCAAAGTGGGTTTTAAAACTGGGATGTAAACCCGTATGTAATTGTCCAATATTTTCTTCTATTAAATTAAAACTTAAAAACACCAAGATCAGTTTTATGTACTTTACATTTACACATTTGTCTTTTCAGGTTCTTGATCTCTCAAATAACAAGCTCAGTGACATCCCCTCTGGTCTTAGCAACTGCCCCAAGTTGAAGGAAATCAATTTCAAAGGCAACAAGCTGAAGGACAAACGTCTCGAGAAGATGGTCAGTGGTTGCCAGACCAAGTCCATCCTCGATTATCTCAGGGGAAAAGGACGTCAAGGAGAGGACGGGGGCGATCATGATGGAGGACGAAAGGCTGACAAAAAGAAGAGGCTGCAGCAGAGGAGGAAGAATGAGAAGACGGCAGATGAAGCAGATGAGGTGGAGGAGCTGAATAAGATGGTGGTGAGGGTTCTTCATGTGTCAGAGGATGCCACAGAACTGACTGTCAAAGTCACTGCAGAGGTAAAGGAGGTTCGTCCCTATTTGGTGTGCTGCGTGGTCAGAGGCATGAACCTAAAGTCTGGGAATGCTCTCAAACGCTTCCTCATGGCTCAGGTATGGAGATGCTATTTTTCCTCTTGTTTTAACCCAGACTTTTTTTAATATTAACCTGTGTGTGTGTGTGTGTGTGTGTGTAAGTAAAAAGAGTGTGGTGTGTGTGTGTGTGTGTAAAAAGAGTGCATCACCATGAGTAAAGTTACTGTTGTTTTTCAAGACAAAGCTTCATGATGATATGTGTGGAAAAAGGACCACTGCAACGATCGCGACTCACGACTTGCAGCTTCTCAAAGGTCCTTTGACGTATGATGCCAAACCACCTACTCAGCTGAAGGTAGTACCCACAGACTAAAACGATTAGATATAAATACTGGTCGCATTCACATGTTTATGTTTATATAAATATATATATATTCTAGATTGTGCCACTTGGACGGAAGGAGATGACTGCTGTCGAACTGATGAGACACCTTCACCTTGAAGCTGACGAACTTAGGAGGCAGAAGAAAAGGCAGAATGTAACTGGCCTTCACAAGTTAGTATCCACTGCAGTACTGACTTGTTTGGGGAAAAAATGTGAAAAAAGTTCAACCTAAACTGAAGATGGAATTATTTAATCTAAATCTTTGTATTTCACGAATTGAACTTGACAAATTGAGTTATTTAGTGGGAACCAAGAGTGTCAACATTATTTTGTCTTTTTCTTCCATTTACTTGAATGCAAGATATCATGCACTTCTTCAGCCTTACTGTTCAGCACTTTTCTTTTTCTTCCCTTGTCTCATCACACAAGTTTACTCCGATACATTTTTTTTGTTATTTGTATAATCCATACAAAAGGGTATTTTTTCACAAAGAACGTAACTCGTCCCCAACAACCTACATCTAGACAAATTATCCAGAGCACACTAGAGTTCATAAAAATGCAAAAAATGAAATGTGTTCTAGTGCTGAGAGACTGAACATTAACTCAACGCTGTGTTAATTTGACAGATACCTACAACTTTTGCAAGAAAAACCTCTCTATCCCTGCCTTGTTGACGCAGAGGGACATGTGATCTCATTTCCACCAGTTACCAATAGTGAAAAAACCAAGGTGTGTTTACAGTATGTGATCAATGTGTTTGTGTGATAGAGGTCATAGATGTTGAACCCCAGTGATCACTGTTTTACTTTAACTTAGCCCTATCTTCATGTATATTACAGATAAAGAAAACAACCAAAGAGCTGTTTTTGGAGGTGACCAGTGCAACCAGCCTGCAGACCTGTAAAGATGTTATGGATGCTCTAATTGGAGTAAGTTTTTTTTTTTTTCAATTTTTCTGCCCTTAAAAGCTGTTACAACGTTGGCAATGTTATTGAAGGGGTAATTAGTTTAGGTGGACAGAAGGTGGTGCCAGAGTAAAGACATTTGTTTGAGTCGTTCAATCAACTCATGGTAACACTTTTTAATTACAGAAAAATTCTTCGGGGTGCCTCTCTAAGAAAATTATTTTGAAAAATGTTGACATTGATTTAACGCTTTACGATTGATTGTTTTGGGAAACAAATCTTGTAGGTAATGATGAAAGTTAATGACCAAGTAGTTGGTTTTTATGGATACTTTCTTTTGTTCTGCTCCTGGTGAAGCAAGGCGTATTTGTCCTCTAAATAGACAAATCAATTGGCTCTTCACATTTAGCTCTTAAGAGTTGGTTTGATACACTGTTTTTGTTGTTTTTCTTAACAGAAAATGTCAGAGCTGAACAAGTTTACAGCAGAGCATCAGGAGGAGGGTGGATCAGACGGGGAAGGCGGGGTCCAAGCTGAGCCAGCAGCCGTTGGAGAGGCCACTAGTGAACTCACCGTCCTACAAGTTCGAACCTTCGACCAAGACGGAAACCTAAAGGTTGTCTACCCATCAAAGACAGACCTCTGCAGTGAAAAAAGCAACGTGACCGTAGTATGGTAGAAATGCTGTGGGAGGAACCCTAAAACATACGTAATGTCCCTTATTATATGAAAAACTGAAGACCGGCTTTTACAGCATATCTTTCATAAACATGCCAAAAGTGGACATTCTGCCTAATTAAAAAAAATAAGAACCTAAACGCAACTCTCTCATTTCACATTACAACAAAGTAAATAATGCACATTTACTAGAGCAATAACCCTAATATACTATTAAACATTTGTAAAACTAACCTTGTTTAAATAAAAGCAACCACAATTAGAAGATGTTTGTTTTCATAGTTGATCTTTTAATAACAGTGACTCACTGTGTGTTTGACACAGATCAAAGAGCAAAGGAAATCAGTTTTAAACAGGTGGCCTTCTATGAGCTTCATATGTTTGCCAACTTTGTGTAAAGCTTTACATCACATAAAGACTCCAAAATTATTTGACTCATTAAGTTCTATTATAAAACCTACAATAAAATACAGCAGCACAGGCCTACACTGTTTAGCTTAGAACAGTAGGAGGGAGTAAAATACAGTAGAACTATAACTGTATTCAGAAAACATTGACCTGTTTCAGATTTTTTGCAAAAAGGTAAATGTTACATGTGCACTTTTATTCTGTGAAAAACGTATAAACCATTACAAAAAAAAAGCACATGCTCCTAAACCGCATATATCTTCAGCCTTCATATGATTCCCTGGTCAGTTTGACCCACAAGGGGTTCTCTATTTATGTTGAAATTCCATTCCTACGGTGCAACGTAACTTGATTTTCGCTACTCATATGCTGTTCATCAGTACATACAGTATGTCACCTACGCTAACACAGTGGTAACAACAGCATAATCCAGGACAGGTGTGGGCAAACCTTTTAACTCGTTTTTGTGAACTACGATATATGACGTAAATTTCATGCAAAAAGGCTAAAATGTTTTAAGCCTTTTCTACCCCATCTATTGAAGAAATGTTGGTATTGCTGGAAAAAGTATAATGATAATATAAATTAATAATATGATTTGGACAAGTTTGCCAAATGGGCCATATCCAGCCCCGAGGCCGCAGTTTGCCCATGTCTGATCAAGGACATAAAATCATCAGAAGAGTCTGACTTAAGGTTGGGAGCCATAATATAGGCCAAAACGTCCCCAAAAAAACAACAGTACTTATATTCAAGTGAAAGTTAGCCCCAGTTTATTCACATCCACATGAAGCACTGTTACAGTGATGTTACTGACGTGAACATCTGCGAAGTGAATTAATAAAAAAAAACTCTTAGCTTTTTCAACAACTATGCAGCTCTTCCTCTGCACAAACTTGGAGATAAATAGCCACTCCTCAGACATACGTAGGCCACCTCCAGGTACTTGTAGGTGCCCTGACATGGGTCTCCAAACACTGAGTTTGAGGCTCGGATAGTGCAGCTGTTCTTTCCATCACAACTGTGAATGGACAGTAACAACAGTTAATACTTAAGGTTGTCTTTTTATGATCATTTTCTGTGAATCTGTCAGTTAAAACAGGTTTCTATTTAACATATAAACAATATTTGTATATTTGTACCTCTCAGAAACTTTGTCTGTGGGTCTAGAACAGTAGATGTTTTTCACGTTATTGTAATTCCAATTGTAAATACAGGTAGTCTGATCACGGCGTCCATAGTCGGCTCCAATCACACGTATGACATCTCCCACACCTATCAAAAAGAGGTGGACATAAAACCTGTATTTAATCTTTAAATTGTAATTCTGCTGCTGCCCTGATGTCATGAATGGTCTGCCTCTTACCACAGGACAAATCTGCAGTAGAAAGCTCGCATATAACAAGATGATCTGTCAATGTAAATGAAATTTCTTTAGATAATTTACAATGAAAACACAGCTTTAGTTTTCACTACCAGTCACCAGTGTGACTAACTTGCTAGGATGCAGGTGTATTTGGTCTCCAGACAGGTGTATGTTCTATGGCACCTATTAGATGTACGGAATTTTCCTATGCTCATCTCACACACCTTTTTGCCATCGCAGCTGTAGAAAGGAAGGGGAAAAAATGAATGAACCAGACGCTTGCATCAAATATCTGACTTTAACTAGAAATTATATTATTTTAATGAACTGAAACTACTGCTTCACCTAATTACACCTTACAGTTAGCAGGAGTAATGGAGTAAAGAGTAATGGAGAAATGGTGTAATGCAGTAATGGAGGAAAGAAGGTTCTGTGCAGTACCTCTTCCTCATAAAGTTTCTTGTTCCAGTTCCTGAGCAATCATTAGTTCCATACTGTGCTGTCTGCACATTGATGACACCAGAATCTACAAACACACAGATGAGACATTTAGAGGAGAAACTGTAGTGTTCCTTAAAATAAAAGTGCATTTAAAGCAGAGTTTATGAATTTATATCAAAATCCAGCATCATCTCCATTTAACCAAAATGCCACACTGTTAACTCAGTATAATTTAAAACAGTGTCAGTCCAAAACTTTGAGTTTTCGACTGATAAACTCGTCTCAGTCAAATTAGGACAATAGCAGTTGGGAGCAGTAGTCGAGGTAGACAGCAACACTGAAAGGAAGTTCTTTTTCTCTACCGTTGCTAAAATGCTTGCTCGGTGTGCAATTTTATCCTGCTTTGTATTGTTCTGTATTGTTCTGGTCTGTATTGTTTATTTAAAATCCGTCTAGACATTGACTGTATAGATCTGTATAGTCTTCCCCTGTGAAATGTTTTAGGAGAATAATTTAAGTTTAATCTCATTCCTTTTTTAAAAGGGCTGTACAAATAAAAATGACTTGACTAAAGTTCAGTCAAACAGTGTTCAGTTTTTGTGTGTGTACAATCATACCGCAGGTGATGCGGTGGACAGAACTGCCACCTCCACAGGTTTTAACAGTCCTCATTGAATCTGTGAAAAATACAATGTAATTTTCCAGGACATACAGCAAATGTTATAAATGAATGAAAACATTCTCAATAGACGTTCATGGACTTGTACCTGCTAAGCAGAGCAAACATGTTGTTGCCAGCACTGCAAGAGAAACAACAAATTGATTTACTTTATTAAAACTCTGATTGGAGCATACAGAGTTGTCAGTTGTTTACTTACAGAGAGAAGTGCTGAGTCTGAGGTGCAGCATACTGTAGATCTAGAAGAGTCTGTTCTCCAGTCTGTCTTAAACATCAGTCTGCTGGGATAGTCCATCAGACTTGTATTTATTGAGGAGTTGATGTTCAAGGAAGGCTCTTTCCAGTATTTCCTGTTTCCAACATACAATCATTTAAAGCCCAAGAAAAACAAACTCTGTAACTATGTTTATAAAATTGACAAAACATATGCAATTGTTCCTTTTATCTATCTTTTAATCCATTGGAATGACGTTTTGGTAAGTGTGATGCCTGTATCAAACTCTTTTGTGTGTCTTACAGACTCCTTTAGCCAAGTTTCCAATTTTTTAAATAAAATGAATCTATCCATTTTTTTATAAGTTGGCTAAAACATGTTTTATGGAACTATTTTTACATTTTGGTTGTGAAAAAAAATAATAAAAGGTCAAAATGCAAATAAGTTGCATTTTTTCTGTGGCGCTTTGGCCCAGAGGCAATGTCTCTGTCATTGGTGTGAAACCCCAGGGTTCACCTCCTGGGCAAGTTCAAATCCAGGTTAGGGCGGTTGGTACCTTCCAGTGAACTCCCCACCTGCAGGAAGGTTTAGGGGAGTTGGTACGGTGCAACATGATTTGGGTGGCGACTGCTGTGCCACCCAAATCACATTGCACTGCGTGACCTGGTAATGTATAACCAGATGAAAATGGATTTGTTTTGCTTTTAGTTTGTAGGAACAAGACAGAATACATGTGTGTAAACAAGAGTGTGGTGAGGTGAAGAATAAAACTACGAAGTAGACAGTATGAAAAAGAGGTGAAGAAAAGGCTGTGGGCAGGGTGGAATGGCTGGCGACGAGAGATTTGTGATAGAAGAATAGCAGCAAAGTTGAAAGGTCATGTTTATGACACTGTGATGTATGGTTTACAGACAGTGGCTCTGTCCCATAGAATTCTGAACTGGAAATGGCAGAGATGGAGATGCTGAGATTTTGACTGGGAGTGAGGATGAAGAGGAGTAAAACTGAGTCGATCAGAGGGACAGTTAGGGTGGAGCAGTTTGGAGATAAAGTTGAACAGGTGAGGTTAAGATGGTTTGGATGTGTGTTGAGGAAAGATAGTGAATATACTGGACAAAGGATGCCAGGAAAGAGATGAAGGCCTTGGGAGATTAATTAATGTTGTGAAGAGGACACGGAGATTTGAACCGGAACCGGACTTTTCTTTCCATATTCCTGGTAGAGGTGTGTGCTGTTCCTGAACATTTACTGGCATGACAGTCAAACAGCATTTGCCGGTCAAACAGGTTTTTTTTTCTTTTTTTGGACTGACTTGCTCATTAGTTCGTTAGTTCTCAAGGTACTTGATTGTTCCAAAGCCGTAATTAAAGGTCGGGAAACTACAGCTGGTGTCTTATTAAAAAAGTAAACTGAGCCAGAAGAAATGTTATAGAAGGAAGTGAAACATGAAATAAGGGTCAATCATGAAAGCTGAAAATAGATCAGTGACACAACCAGTTAATTAGTGAAATGTAAAATTTCCAGTCAGACTGGGTTCCTGATAATCACTTATGGTAAATGTTTGGCTTATATGGGTGCAGTTTATACCTGTTGTACGTTTGTTTGCACCACTCCATGATATTTATTATCATTGCCACAGAATAATTTAATTAATTTGTCTTTTTCATTTTGTTTCAGACTTTTTGACACTCCCTAGCGAATGTCTCCAACTCGCTTTTCTTCTTCTCCTCTTCGGACTCTCACTGTGGTCTTAAATATTCTCTTTTCTTCCTACTCATAGACTAGTAGCAATGCAACCCTAAAAATTCTGCTTTAAGCTTCTTTTTCATGTAATTGTATTGACTTGGGTTTTTGGAGGATAATCATTTTTGTATGTATGAATGCTGTTCCTGTACTGTGATTCGCAGACATTGACATTTGAGCCTGTAGTGCCTCACAGTGGAGAAAAGTAAATATCCTTGAAGTGAAGTAAAAATTAACAAGGAACAAAAAGCAAAAATAGAATATAAAAGTGGGTGGATTCATCTCATGGTCTTCCAGTTTGGGCAGTTTTATTCAAAATTTCTTTTTAGAATTGTTTCCTGCTTATGTAGAGAGGAGTTTGACAAGTGGACCTTCATGAATGTTTAATTGCTAATTATTATTACAAATTAGTTCCCTGTTCTTGGACCTATAATGTTGTTGTTGAGCTGTTTAGACATAACGAAATGTAATGTAAGGTAAAGGTTTGATGTGCAACATTTTGTTAAAGTCTCAGTAACAAACACATGCCTTATCAGTAACAAACACATGCCTTATTTCTGTCTTGTTGGATAAAAGTACAAATGGAACATTTTTTTCAATGCTTGTTTATTATGTGTTTACAGGCTCAGGTATGTTTACTGGCTCACCAGTGATATCACACCAGGATCTGTCAAAGAAAAAAAAAATTTTTCAGCTCTTTCCTCCACAACAGTTTGTTAGTTTACCAAAAAGTTTGAGCCTGGTTTCTACTTACATTCACACACATAAGCCATCTCCAGGTACTTGTAGGTACCAACACACGGGTCTCCGAGCAGGGGTGTTGTTGGCATGACAGTACAGCTGTTTTTCCCATTACATCTGTTGATACAGAGCAACAACACATTGTTCAAACCCTTCCCATCTGCAGAGGTGTTTACGTTGGAAATCACCACACACTACAAACATATACCCATATGATCCGCTTCTTCTTTCACAACTTGTTAAATAAATATTCAATTTCACTATTGCAGCAACTGAGCTTTGTCCATTTATTATATACAGTCAAGAGACTTATTTTGTCAGTCCCTTTTTATTAAAACATGTCACATTTACCTCTCATAAATTATTGAGAATGTATTGGAGCTGGAGCAGTCGACATCATTTGTTTGAGTGGTGGGCCGGCCGAAAGAGCAGGTATTGTGGTCATGACGTCCATAGTCGGCTCCATACACAAGTATTACTTGTCCTTCATCTGACAGGTCAAAAGGAGGAGAAGAAAAAAAAACAAAAGAAAACTCACTAACTTTGGCTTTGCTTTTCATTACAACATAGATTTAGCATTATTTCACATGTTGTCTTACCGCAAGACAAATGAACCAGAGATCCATAACAAATCACGACATGTCCTGCCAGAGAGAATAAGAAATCACATCAGATGTCTCTTCATAATAATAGATTATTTACAGCTTTGCACTGAACAACAAACTGTATGTAGGTGTTGCACTGACTTGCGTCGAAACATGTATAGTTGGTCTCCAGGTATTTGAATATTCCAACACAGGGATCAGAAGTACGGACCACATTTGTGTTAAATTCACACTCCTTCTTGCCGTTGCACCTATTTGGACGACAGATACAGTAGTTGAAACGGAATACTGCAAATTAACACTAAAATGTTGTTCTGAACGAGGTTTCATCCTAATAATAATAATAATAATAATAATAATAATAATAATAATAATAATAATAATAATAATAATAATAATATGAACTTTATTGATCCAACAGAATTGCGAAAAATGGCTGATTAATGGTGGCCCCTTGAATCTTGAGTATTAGGAAACCATACCTTTTCTTAATGATGTCCACAGTCCCCATTTGAGAGCAGTCTGTAACTGTCAGTTGATTATTAGGTCGGCCTTCACTGCAGGTCTCCCTGTCTTTACGTCCATACAGTGCTGACTGTACTCCGATCACACCACTCTCTGTGAAAATACCAGGAATACATGTTCAAAAAGACAAGATAATCATAATCACCTTTACTGGACAAATATGAAAGAACTTGGAGAAACAAATATGAATTTCACTGTTTTTATCTGGAAAGAGAACATGTTTTACAAAGGTATTTATTACTACAGCTAAAGAAAGTCATTCACCTGATCATTAATATTTACACTAACTTTTCACACATTAATTATTATTGTAATTACAATTAATTATTGTGATGCCTTGTCTTAAAAAGACTTGGGTGGTTTATGTTGAATGTGGCCCATGGGCAAGAGTTGCCCACAAGCCATGAGTTTAGAACTGCTGCTATAAGGATTAAAAACATTAATTAAATCACAATAATAAATAAATATAATCATAGATAATAATTTTACACACACTGAAAGAGCTCTCTCTCCTAATTCTGTGTTTTATTTGTTGTCCCTGTTTGATACCAGTCACTGTGTTTGTACTAAACTTCAGCTTAGCATCAAACAGGAAGTCCAGTCTTACCACAGGTCAGGTGTTGGACATTGTCGCCCGTGTCACAGGTGATGATACTCTTTGTGGAAGCTGATATAATAAGAAATGTGAATTTTTATTAAGGTGCACAGTGAAAAACTATGCAAATACCACTTTCCATTCTATCAAATATTTACCTGCAGTCCAGATCATACATGTAGTTAGCACTAGAAAGGAAACATTTATTTAGTAATTTGAAATAATATAATGCATTATAATAAAATTAAATAAAAAAATTAAATTAAATAAATTAAAAAGAAAAATATAACCCAAGATATGAAAGAAAATTTAGATAAAAGCAAATGTAACTAAGGAAGAGATGGTTGACATTAAATTTAATACATTGTAAAATTGACAAATGTCAAATGTTATACAAACAATTATTGTGGAAATAAAAGAAATACAGATATATTGTCTTTACTGCGTTCTTTCTCAAAACAGCTCTTTACAACATCAACTATCAGTGCTTGCTCTATATTTGACTCATCTGTTGTGTGCTAACTCACCCAGAGTGGTACCCAGGCTGAAGTGGACCATGGTCTCAGAAGAGTCTGTCGAGTAATGTAGGCTGGGACACCCGCGCCTCTATTTATTGTGTTCCAAAGTACAGGAGGTGGTACTTTCACAGACGCTCTCCTATTAACACTGTCATTTGATTGGCCCAGGCAAAACAATAAAGTTCAACTGATACTGCAGTTGACACTGTCATTGTATTGGTTTATATATTGGGATATGTTTATGTATTATGATATGTGAATACTAAATACAGACTAAATACAGTTTTCATATTGTCCCCGTTTGAGGTACTTGGTCAATTGATTTTAGTTTTTATTTAGAAAAACGTAAAACCAATGTAAGAGCTGGTTTGAACACAGAAAACATACTACACCAATCACATATACACACATCGCCATAGCACGACAATTAGTCATGTAAGATGTTAGAACTTAATTAACGAGTCGTTACCGTGACAAATAATGTCTTAAAACTACATGCTTACCAAAAACACAAACCTCCAGCCTTTTCAGAGAGTGACTAAACTCTCACTTCTCTCCGTCCAACTGTGTCACAAACGAAAATCCGTGACTACAGCGGAACCTTTTCAAAAACCAGTCCATGGAAATTACATTATTTACATTTAGTCTCCAATTTATTTTCGGCCTGAAACTGGTTAAAGGAGGTTACAACTCATATTTGTTCATGTATTTATTTATTTATTTTTATTTGTTTGTTTGATATTATTGTTTTACTATTTCTATTTTAAGTCTTGAGACAGTTTTAGAGAAGTTCATGTTTTCAGTGATACTTCCTTAGCATCTTTTGTAAAGGTTGTTTATCATTTGGTCTTGGTCTCTTATCTTTGTCCAGTCCACCCTGAAAACCATATCCATAATTGAGCATCAGTTAAAAAATTGCCATGCTAACATTCCTCCATTCGGAACATAATCTTATCTCAGTTAAGAGTGATCGCGTGACAGACTAAAGGTGCGTCAGTGCTCCGATTCACTAAACACAGGAACAAGCAAAAAGCAGGAACTCGAGAAAACAACCAACCACAAGCTCAAGCACATGCAATGAACACCCAAGAGCAACACCTAGGATACGACAATCAGTGAACAAAAGCAAAAGAACACGACAAAGACTGAGTAAGAGAGTGGAGAGTGGAGACCAGGTGAGATGAGTGAGACTAATGATAAGGGAATCACAGACAACAGGTGAGAGTGATGACAGTGATTACCCAGAAGAGACAGAGAGACCTGACAGTAGCCCCTTCTTAAGGGATGACACTGGACTTCCCAAATTGTGTGTGATACAGCTGGGACAGCCTGAAAGAGCAAAAATAGAGGCAGCAGACAGAAGCACGGAAAGAAGATGGCAGAAGAAGTATTGGGAACAGACAAGAAATGGAGTAGGAACAAAACAGGCAGACGTGCAGAATTATGGAAACACTTGGGAACCAACCTTGCCTAGACACAGAAACTAAAAAGAAGCAAAAGTAGACCTGAGCGGGAACAAGAGAAACTGAAAGCCAGGTCTGGATTTTTAAAAAAGGAAACAAAATCTAGGTGTACATCAGGGAACAGTTCTAAGCCTCGTCTTGTATGCAGTAGTGGACAGGTTCACAGACAGTCAGACTGTAGGAAAAAACAAAGGAGCTTGTGCTTTGATAGACATTGAGGGAGATAAAGATGTAGAATACAGGACGTGGCAGTTACACAAAGATTTCTGTTCCTTTGAGCAACACAGTAACTGATCTGCTTTTGGTGTTGGGCTTCATCTTTATTAATGCCTGTAGTAGGAAATGATAGTAGTGAAACTAGCCCATGGACTATTCATGTTGATTTAGCTACTCTTCTAGATTTTGTTTTTGTACATTTCAGCCAGTAGCAAGAATAAGAACTTTGGGCATACAGTTTCATTTCTTTGTGCTACTTTGTTTTTTATCTCCTTGCTTTTCTCTCTCCATTACCACTTCAGCAGTCTGACCCAATGTGTCGTGGGAATTTATTGCAATAACAAACAAGCAACAATGCAGTGCCAAACCTTTTTTGAACGCCCCTCCCTATAGCACCCACCCCTCAAGAAATAAAAATAATATGACACTGAATGTAGCAAATGTGATAAAGCAGCTGCTAGATTAATTACAGATTCAGGGAATTCAGGTATAAAGAAAACAGATTCCACCATAATTTCCTCAGCGCAATATTATATTCCACAAACACTCTTTTTATTTTTTCAAAACAAAAACCAAGAATAAGAACAATGCAGCTTAAACCCATATTATGTGAACAAATGACAAAGGACCATTCATACACATGTCTGTTGGTTGTAAAAAGTTAAAGGTGGGAGTTTGGTAAGTAATTGCTTTGTGGTTAAGAAAAGATGAAATATTTTTGTCTTCACCACAAAGTTGAATCAACACTTTGGATAAAGTTATTTATTGGTTTTGAAAGAAATATGGACAATCAAAGACAATATTCTGTGCTGACTATTTTGTGTGTTCCTAATGAAAATATGTCTAGGTTTAAGAAATGAGAATATATGTTTTATTTGTGTCAACGGCATTAGCAACATTAGCATTTCCTTGCGTGAGAAACAAAATAATTAGTTTTTTTAAGATTTTATTTAGTTTATATTTTATTTTCATTTTATAGTAAACACACACACTGAACGTTTAGTCTATGCAATAAGTCACATTTATTTTTAATCTTTAACATCAAAGAACTTTTATACAGCAGAGTGAATTTTATATTCATTGTCAGTGAAGAAACGTAATTTACATGAAAAGACTTCTTCAAATTTCCTTTCAAAAATTGTAAAAGATTAACAACATTAAGAAATGCTGATTGAGAGAAGTAGACAGGAAGGCATTACTGTTTATCAAAACAACTTAACATTAGCTTATTTTTCATCCATATAAATGTCAGGAAATCCTGTTGAAAAACTGACACGAGTTTCGCCTGACCTAGCTTCGTGTTTGAAAGTAGAGAAGTTTGCGGAGGAAATTGAAGGAGCCGGGCATTTGCTTGAAGCACCCCAATGCAGCGTTTTGGGAGACCTCATGATTAACCTAAAAAGAAAACAAACAGATATAGCTCAGTATGATTTTATTGTGACAGATGCAGATTTTTTAGCAATATGAAAAGCTCACCATCATTAACATAGTGACCAAGTCATCAGTATCAGCATTTTCTTCAAGAACACGGTCCAGAGTCTCAACATACCAAGATCCTGACTTGGGGTCTCTCCATGAAACAAATCCTATAAAAGTAATGCACAATACAGAAATCAAATCAACATTAGGACACACAGTCCAATAAATCTCCATTACCATTCTCTAATGATTATACCTCTAACTTTCTGCAGTTATTGTGGCCTTTATCCAACACAGAAAATGTGAATAAAAGATAGAAAACACACCAGGAAATGTTGAATACGACACCAGAATGTCACTTGGCGTGGGGAGAGTGACTTTGGCATCAGGCTCATCGGACATGCTCAGCGAGTCGCTGCTGGATGACATTGGAATGGCGTCTGTCTGGTCATCTATTCCACCTTTGGAAGACAGTTCCTCATCTGGGGACATCTCAAAACCTATGTCTTTTTCACCTCAAACAAAAAAAAACATTCTTATATATAAAAATATATATATACACACATTATTTATATATATATACTGTATATACACACTAAATATATATATATACTGTGTATATATATATATATATACACATATATATATATATATATATATATATAATACATTTATAACATATATATTTATATACACAGTACGTTCATTTTTAGCTACCTCCTCCACATGCTTGGATAAAGAAAAGCTTGGGTTTCCCCTGTAGAGATGGGCAGTGCTGGCCATTGAGGTAGTTTGTAATGTGCTGAACTGGGACATAGAGGCCGTCCACACCATAAACAGCACCGGGAAAGCGGCTGTGGCTGACCTGTAAAATAAACATAGAGCAGGTGCTACATTTATCAAAATAAAAACTTGCTGATTGTGTGAAAATATTCTAGGTGGATTATTTGGGGGGAAATGAACTGAATATAATATTAATTTAATGGAAAACACCAGTCTAAATCTCACCTCTGTTCCATGAGAGAGAATTATAACCACGCAGCAGTCATACTGTGAATGGTCTTCCTTAGACAGAGCACCCAGGGCGTGCTTGATTTGCTGCAAGGTGAAAAGTCCTGTTACTGTAGCTCCATAAACACAGACTCATTCAGCTATGAAGGCAGAATAAACAATCTTTACTCTTTGTTTCAGGTTCGTCTTCACTTCCACATAGAAGTTGAGTGATTTAAATCGTCGCTCCAGCTTGTCGCAGTCTACGTTGGAGCCTGTTCGTTTGCTCAGTCCACTCTCAGAGTCAAACAACACATTGTTTATGATCAGGCAGTACCCACATGGGCTGGCGTCCATTTTATAGCTCTGACATGGAGGTATACCAAATGAGGAACCATGTGTTAAAGAGGTTCTAAGGCCTTTAAGGTTTATTATTCTGCATATTTAATATAAATCTGTATAAATATGAAAAAAAACTATTTACCTGAATACTGTCACGCCGTGGTCTGCCTAGTGGTCTAGGTCTTATGCTGTCTCTTTCAGGTGCTGTGACATGAATACCGATTTTGTTAAACTTAACAAATTGTCTATAGTATTTGGGAACAATTAAATGACAAAGGTGCTGCACTTTAAAGTTTACTTCACATAAAAGGACCATCCACATAACCCAATATACAAATCAAACAGAAGTTAAAACTGTTACTATTCCACATCGCTACATTGTGGATTATAACTGTACTGTATAACTTACATGGACTAGGACTGGTACTAGGTCTCTGTATTGGATAAATAGGAACATCCTTTCTTTGCCTTTCTATATCCATGGGGTTGGCTGTTAGAGAAACAAACAGCATGTTATCATCTATGGATAAGGCACGTTTTCTTCACAAAAATTAGTAAAAAGCCTGATGATGTATAACACTTACAAACTGGGAGAGGTCGAACGGTAGGACGTACAACTTGTGTTGGTGTTGCAGGCTGCAGATGAATGGCTGGAGCTCCGTTCTGTAGTAGATTGGCTAGATCGTGCTGACCCACTTCGTGAAGGCACTCCAGAAATAATGGGAAGGCTCGACTCCCACGGGTCTCCAGGTCTCTGACCAGTTCTCTGGCCTGATCACGTTTCGTTCCAGCTTGCTGAAGAAAAAGAAAAAATTAATAGCTCGAGAGCAGCAACTGCGCAATTATATAAGATAGTAATTGAATTATTTAAATCACACTGACATTATTTCAAGTTAACTTGAATGATGGGAACGTTTGGGCAAACAAACAAAATAACAAAAAAGATAAATAACTTGGGTCAGAAGGAAAAACAAATAAACATTATATACATATAGATATTAATCAGATTTTTCAAAACAATTAAAACTTTGTGATCAGTCAGAACTTTTACAAAAGCCCTGACCTTTCGATTTACCTCGTAATGTCAAAACAATTAAAACTTTGTGATCAGTAAATAAACAGAAAATAAAATTCTGATTTTAGTCTTAGTGTTTTAAAAACAAGTTCCAAAGTTTTCCAAAAAAAAAATCGGCTTTTTAAAGAATTCTAACCATACTATTTTTTTAAATAAAATCAGTGGTGGTTTCAGTCGCAGTTTGACTGACTGATGTTTGAACATGTTTCAGTTGTTCACAACCGTGAACCCGGATGTGACCCACATAGCTGCGCTACCTTAATCTCATCGATCATGTCGGAGGTGAAAACCCCTTTTTCTATCAGAAGGTCAAAGACATCTGCTGGGTCCATGTCTTTGACTAGATTGATCCTGTTGCGCTGAAGAACCTTCTTGTGTCGTTCCTCCATTCTCCATCCGATAACACTGACACGAATGACAAAGACAATTTGTCAGAGAACGACAACTCTGTCGAATTACGCGTGTGTTCTGTATTCTGTATCTTAAAACACACATTAATTTATTTCGAAGCCCGTATAGCTGTGAGTTCCCTAATGAATGAACGTAGGTCCTTTTTTCCTTACGTTTTCTTCATTCGCATTGTCTTGCACTCTCCATTTCCTTGTTTACATCACTGCCTGGTGTGATTGGCTAACAGGGACTCCAGAGGGGTAGGTACGTTTGATTTTTTGCTCACAACTGAGCGGCAGCGATACGACGATAGAGCCACTGAATAAACTCGTGCGAAGCGGTGAATAAAACGGCAAAACAAACTAACTAAATAAAACAGATAATTTATACAACCTCCCTTTAAACGATTATTTGCCTACGCATTTCCATCTCTAGCGTCCTACCTAGCTATTTTGCTATGACACTAGCTGTCGCAGCAGGTTGCCAGTCTGGTCTACTGGAGACACCGAGAGATGCTGCCAAACACACCCAGCTTTCGTCACCTAAGCGCTAATAGGGAGACGCCGAAAAGAGGAGAGGAGCAGCCAAGCCTTCAGCAAAGATGTGGCGTAGCAGCGGCTGACAGCGTATACTGCAGGTGACTGTGGATGTGCTTTTAAAACGGGAAACAAAGCAAGTAAACCGAAGTGAAAAGAGATGGAGGCACTGTTATGTTACAGAAAGGTGTCAGTACTGTGTTGATGGATATGTCTGTTGCTGTCTCTGTCAGCTGACGTGCATTATCTAGTCTGTCTGTCACCCAGTTGACATGCTAGAATCTCATCATCTTTCTGTCTGTCTCCATGCGTTTTGCATCTGTTCGACAATAAAAACATTTAAGTTCTAGGACAGATTTTAAAGAGACGGTGTAGTTGTTGCACACCATTACCAGTCATTTAATGTTGATATCTCTATTTTCTGTGTTTAAGGTGACTGTGATGGCAGGGTCCAAGATGTCTCTGCTGCTGCTTTTGATGCTGGTCATCTCGGTGATGCTGACAGAAGCAATCCAGGCTGGACCAGAGTTGGACCCCTACAAAATCCTGGGAGTGACCAAGAGTGCGAGTCAGGCTGAAATCAAGAAGGTCTACAAGCGACTTGCAAAAGAATGGTGAAATCTTTTTTTATCTTTAGCTGTTTTCGAGGTTTGTTGTGTGCTAATCTTTATTTTTTTCTTGCAAATAATGTGGGAAAAGCTGACATTTTCTAGTACAGTAGAAGTAAACAGACTCGCACATCCCAGTGTTCCTAAATGAATTTTTGTGATCCTTTTTTTTAACAGTCAGGCATGTTGTTTTTATTTTTGGTGTGCTTGAAATCACCTTGATGCTGAAAGATAAAACCACTGCTGAGAGGACGTTTCCCAGATGCCTCTCTGTAGTGTCTCTATTCCCTTCTATATTCCTGCTTCTCATAGTTTTAACCAGGTCCATAGCTCTTGATTTTATGGCTGGAAAAAGGCCTGAAACCATTACAGAGTCTCCCCAATGTTTACCTTAAGATGGGGGTTTCAGATCCCCAGCTCATTGTCCACTCCTGGCCTATGAACCCGTCTCATCTTGCCCACCGCTATATGTCAATAATAATGTAATTTTCTCCTAAAGGAATATTTAAAAATACATTTTCAGGTATTTTATTTGTTTATTTATTGAAATGCTTTAGCTAGTCTTTTGACAATGGGGAAAAGTTCTACTTGCCAATAATGACAAAACAACTTATTGAGCAGTTCAAAGGTTCTACAGCCCCTTTAAACCCTGTAAAAACCTCAGACTGTGAAACAAACAAAAAAAACTTGTGGTTAAAGACCTGTGTATTCAAATGTATTCATATGAGATTTTGCAGTTTTTATCTTATTGAGTCACATTTTCCTCAGGCATCCTGACAAAAATAAAAACCCAGGGGCAGAAGACATGTTCATCAAGATCACTAAATCCTATGAGGTTAGTAAGAACCAGTCAAAGTGATTCAGGCTTTTAAAAGCCACCTACGGTATATACATCATGCATGACTGTATTACTTTGTGTCATGCCAACATTTGTTCCATCTATCATTTAGATCCTTTCCAGTGAAGACAAACGAGCAAATTATGACCTCTATGGGCAGACGGATGACACTCAGCCGTATAGCAGCAGTCGATACAGCGCTCGCCAAGACAACTTTCACTTCGACGAGTCTTTCTTCAACTTTCCCTTTAACAACAAGAATCAGAGGGACTTTGCCGACGGCAAATATACGCTGCACTTTAACCAGTATGTGAACGATGTGGTGCCTGACAGCTACAGGAGACCCTACCTGATAAAGATCACGTCTGACTGGTGCTTCAGCTGCATCCACATAGAACCTGTCTGGAAGGAGGTGGTGCAAGAGATGGAGATACTCGGTGGGAACATCTAACAAAATGCTCATCTACTGCATGATACACACAGAGCTTTAAATATGAAGATGAAGTTTCTTTGTGGGTTCATCACACTTTGCAGGTGTTGGTGTCGGTGTTGTAGATGTTGGCTATGAGAGAAGATTAGCCAATCACTTGGGTGCTCATCGAACTCCATCCATCCTTGGCGTCATCAATGGCAAAGTGACATTTTTCCACTTTGCAGTCGCAAGAGAGCATCTGAAGCAGTTTGTAGAAGATCTTCTCCCTCAGAGGCTGGTGGAGCGGGTAAATATCTGCTGCATTCTGCACTGACTGACAGAATCAGATTATTGATCCAGTGGTATAATATTTATACAATGTAAATGTTTTTGATTGAATAACAGTGCACATTTTATAAAGAGAAATGTAAATTTATTTAATTTTATGGATTTTTAAAACATGTTTGTATGGAATATATGTTGAGGTACTTTGACTGCATGTAGCTGTTTTGTATAAGATGATTTGATGATTACTTATATGGTTACTTATTTAGTCAGATAGAATGACAAATATAGATGTCATTCTATTTTTAGAGGAAATCCCTTCCTCTAAAATAGAATGACATCTATATTTTTAATTAATTTTTTTATTTTAATTGTTCATTTAATTGCTTCAGCTACGTATTTAGCATTGTTCTAAAGTAACGTGTCCAATATATTCCAATACCTCAAACCCATACATGTCCACAGTATGGCTACAATATATGTTTTTTATTTCAATGTGCAGGTCACTGACAAGAACGACCAGCAGTTCCTGAACAGATGGCACGAGCTCAACAAGCCTCATGTGCTTCTGTTTGACCAAGTGTCTGTGGTTCCTCTTCTCTACAAAGTAGGTTCTTGTCCTGTGACCTTCTTTTCATGTGAAATGCAGCCCACTGCATTACTCTAACAATTACAACGGCCTTAAGCATTTTCTGCCTCTCCGCAGCTGACAGCCTTTGCCTATAAGGACTACCTGCAGTTTGGGTATGTGGACCAGGGTCTCTCAGAGACCGTTAACCTGCAGAAACAGTTCAACATCAACACTTACGCTCCAACCATGCTGGTCTTTAAAGAGAACACGGAAAAACCTGCTGATATAATACAGGTTAAAGAAATCAAAGTTTCCTTTGCTCTGAGTCAATGCCATTGTTTTGTCAGTTCTTTACATGTTTGTCTGTTTCAGGCCAAGGGAATGAAAAAGCAAATTATTGATGAGTTCATGTCGAACAACAAGTTCCTTCTTGCACCACGTTTGGTCAACCAGAAGCTCTTCGACGAGCTGTGTCCAGTCAAACAGTTCCACAGAAGGAGAAAGTAAAAGGATAAAAACATTTAATTCAGTATAAGTAAAAATCCAAATGACACCTAACTTTATCACTTTACCTGTGCTCAGATTTTGCGTCCTGCTGATTACACGTGACGAAGAGGTCTTTTCATCAGGGAACCAGGCGTTCCTGTCGTTTGCTTCCTCAAATACAAAAGAAGTTGTCAGGTTTGCGTACGTGTACCCGCGGCTGCAGCAACCACTGTGCGACATCCTCATACAAAACAAGGACAGCACACAATCGGCGCCACAGGTACAGTGTGCTGACACCTGTTCAACAATAACATAAAAGACGTTTTATGTTTAGCTCCATGTGGTGTGTGGTTCTGTGCAGGTGGTGATCCTGGAGAGACGGAACTCTGCAGGAAAGGCCTTGTTTAAGCCGGTGACCATGTGGAATGGCAGTGAGGAAGACAGGCAGCTCCTAAGGGAGGAGCTGCAACGGCTTCAGAAGGACCCATCCATCCTCATCCATGATGCCATGCTGCCAGAACTCAACAATGAGTTTGCCTCTGTAGGTTCTCTTATGCAGTGAAAGCACCTGCTGTAAACATGAAGTCTAAACCCAGTCACTTTACTGAATGTGAACTCTCCTTAGATGTTTGTAATCCGATGGATCTACGCATCATACGATTACCTCACAGAGGTCATTGATGACATCCTTCATAACAACTGGTAGGTTGTACTTATAACTGCTCCCAGTGTTATTGTTATACTTTAGGTTTTTCTTTTGTTGTTGTTGGGTTTTTTTTACTTGTATTACATTAATTTTCAGCATATAGGGAAGCGTTTTTGGGCTCTGGAATAATGGACTAAAATGTAAAATGTAAAAAATGTATTATTTATTTCTTTAAACTATTGAGGTTGTAGCTTTCTCCATTCAACATAGTTTTTCATAAAATTGCACATAAAATTTACTTTAATTGAGCAAAACAAAAGGCTAGTTTTTTTTAACCAAATTCTCTCATAAGCCTCGTGTGTTCCGTCTGTATGTAGGTGAAAATGTACATCGCTCCCTGTCCTTATGTTCCAATACCTAGCTCATGTTCACCATTGTTGAGGGAAACATCCACTAGGGAGCAGTGCGGAGTTTATAGTTCATTTAAGGGCTGACATAAGTTTCTCAAATAAGGATAACCATGATGACAGTAATGGAGTTTGTCACAACACTTTCAAAAAAGGTCCAAAAACATTCATTACGCAGTGTAAAACAAACCAGGCTCAAGAGTCAAACAATTCTACTTACACATCAGTGGTTAATACTCACTAGTTTCATACGAAAAGTCCTTGGCCTTACGTTTTGAACAGAAACCTCTGCAAATGCATCCACATTGACCTTTAAAGTCTGCATAATATGCAACATAATACTCTGCAGTTAGCTGACGGTGTCTTATAGACACTATTGTTTATTTGTTTACCCAGAAGACATTTTTTTTGCGAAATGTACCAGATGTAGCCTGAGAAACCAATGACATGAACATCATCACTTAAAATAAATGATATGGTAGTTGTTGGAAAATGTGCACGTTTGAATGAGGCATTTTATTAACAGCACTGTTAATAACTTAAAATGTTATAATTTTCATTTTTGAAGACTTACTATAGATGAAAATGTTGTTTTCTCTTTTGTTTAGGCGTGAGATGATGCCTCTTCTGTCCCTCATCTTCTCAGCCTTGTTCATCTTGTTTGGAACTGTGGTCGTTCAGGCATTCAGGTTTCAGGAATTTAATGCTTCGTCAAAAGATCTTTTAATAAAGAAAACGACCTTTTTAAGAGAGATATTCATTAAATAAATCTTGTCAGAAATATTTCGGAAATGAAAAAAAGTAAACAACACATTTTGATCTCTCTGTCAGTGACTCCAGTGAAGATAAGCAGACAAAACCAAAGGCAAAAGCAGAAAACGGATCACCGGACTCCAGTGCTTCGAGGCAGGAAAACGTTAACATTTTTCATCTTTTTCTGCTGCAGATATATAATAAGGTGTGTGTTTGAGCTCTTTACACTATTTCCTCTATACTTCAGTCGGCCTCCCAAGAAGAATTTTGTGGAGGTGACAGAGTTGACGGACATCACTTACCTGAGTAACCTGGTGAAGCTGAGGCCTGGACACATGAACATCGTGCTTGTTCTCACTGATGCCTCCAAGAACGTCCTCTTGAGCAAATTTGCCAAAGAGGTTTACTCTTTCACGGGGTGAACATGACATTCGTTCCTCAGACAAAATAATGTGTGTGTACGTTTTCGTAGTAGTAGTAGTGTAAATATTCCTAGTAGTAAATACGTTCCCTCTCTCCTAGGAGTCTGACACTGCATTTCTCCTTCCTGAACATGGACAAGCACAGCCAGTGGATGAACACGCTCATGGAATACGCCCACGATGCCTTGCAGACCGATGCGGACGAGGATGACTTTGGAAACCCCAGGGTGGACTACACAGGGTACGTGTTGGCACTTAATGGCCACAAAAAGTACCTGTGTCTGTTCAAACCTGTCTACACTGGAGACGACCTCGAAGGTAAGTCATCTGAGGACGAAGGAGCAACCTCAGGAGGCAGATCAAGGTCCAGGTCTAGGTCCAGGTCTCGTGGCAGCCACCCTCCACGCAAATCCAGCAAGTCTCGTAGCATATCCACACTGCAGGTCCACCACAAACTGGACCGTCTGGGTTTGTGGATGGAGCGGCTCATGGAGGGCACTCTGCCTCGTTACTACATCCCAGCCTGGCCTGGACTGGATAAAATCACATCCTGTAAGTAGATGCTGGTGAATGTGGAGGACTTGTTTTTTTTTGTTTTTTTTTTAGTCTGCTGCCACAAAATATGATCTCCTAAGTTCTGGATCTGCCTTTTTTTTTGCAGTTAAGGAAATGTTGGCATAAGACTGTAGGTTTGGATAACAAATACAAACTTCATCTCCTACTAACTCCTACTTACTCAAAAGTGATTGCATGCTGTTGATGGTCTTATTTACCCCGCGCTGCAGCTTCAGCCTAAGGAACAGAAAAACAAAACCACTATGGACACAGGCTCTGTCATAAAGACCATCAGTCACATTCATTTACAGTGAAGGAAGCAGGGCGTAACACACATGAAAACTGTGAACAGAGATGCATGTCTCTGACGTGACTCTTCACTTTTTAAATATATATATATATATATTTATATATATGATGTTCGAATATAAATTCATATATAATATCGATTTAAATTATTAAATCAGATGAGCTATCAATTATGATTAATCATGATCATAATTAATCATGATTAATGAAGGCACATTGTCATTCCTATATATGACAAAAAAAATGTTTGGTCTTTTGGTCGACACTTGTTTTTATTTGTGGCGTAATCAAAATGTTTTGATCATTATTAAAATGCGAATTTATATCTCAAATCGCACAGTCGCAAAAAATGATTCAGAGTTGGTGGATTTTAGTCATCACTGTGCGTCTTAATGGTGGCATGCAGAACGGGTCCGTTTTTGTCATTATGACAGCCTAGTGTCTGTGTGTGTGTGTGTGTGTGTGTGTGTGTGTGTATGCACGCACGCTTTTTATCGGGATCACATGGGGTTTTGTTCATGTTCTTCCTGATCACTGAGGTTCAGGCGAACATGTTATATAAAAGCTGTTGACATGTTTTATAATACAGTACAGGTATGAATCATTTAGTATTTGTGGTCTGTTTAACCTCAGTTAGCAAGTAGCTGTATGTAGCAAACAGAAAAAACATGTTTTCAATGTTTTTCCAAATGTGATAACATGACATTGTGTTATCTTCATTTAATTATATATGGTCAAAACAGTGTGTAGTGGTTTGGTTTATTATGTCCACATTTCTGAAGGGTGGAGGAATCAAAGGTCAAGCCAGGTCCATGATATGACTGTGAGATTAGTGATTAGACCAGATTAGACTTTGTACATTTTTTATTGATATGGCACACAGTCAAATACCAGTAGGAAAATAGGATGAAACAAAATCAACATTTACATGTGGACTGGGGCACCTGAAAAGGGGCAGGGGTTCTAGGGCACCCCAGTAAAACTATAATACTGACATAAAAGAATATGACACTAAGTTAAAGAGGAATGAGAGTCAAAAGTACCATTGAAATACATAGTATAGTATGTAGTATGTAAAATAGCATCATAAGTTTTTGCCAGCTTCCAGGCTGGCCGTGGGGAGGTCTGTTAGAAACTTTTTTCTTGGGCCCCAGATTCTCTAGCGGCACTAGGATGTATTTTATGGATATCATTATATGAGCAGCTGCAGTTTGATGACTGTTACTGTATGTGTATGAAGTCATGACTTCACATATTTAAGTACAAACTCTATTTCATTTAAACAGGTGCAATTTTCATTTGGTTAGTGGGTTATTGATTTATTTCACTTTAATGTTGTTATGTCTGACTGCCGTGGGTTCACTGAGAGAAGGTGTCCACGCCTCTGCTGGGGCCTGCACTAATTGCATTTTTTCCTGCTAAAAGTTTAAGTTTAATGTAATTATTGTAACGTTTTGAAGTATTATGTAAATATATTACATGCTTATTATGTTAAAAATAATAATTTATTAAGAGCTATTAGACCCTGGAAGTTTGTCTTATTTTCCAAGCCTATATCCAGATGTTCAATATTTATCTTTTAAAATATGAGATGACATTATGGGGTCTCTCTCATCTGCTCATTTAGGACAAGACACATCAGCTCCATGTTTCTCTGTTGCCATGGTAACTTTGAGTGACTCCATTAGCAGCTCATACCAAAATAAGCAGAGAGCCCAACAGCCCTGGTTAATCTTTACTGTTTACTCTAACAGAGAGAAAATAATACTCTTTGTTATTCATACAGAACTGACTGAATTTTAACATCACCAGTTATGGGCCATTTTAAAGTTACAGTGATAATTCCTGGTTCTTTACAGTGGTGGAGATTTGAAAAGCGGCAGAGAAAAGAAGCACAGATGTATTTAAACATTTACATTTAATAAATTACATTTAAATCCCCTTTTCCTGGGACCACACAGGTTTAATCACCCATAGTTCTAGGTTCTGGCATCACCCTTTTGTCATTAGTACATTTTAAACAGTCTGCTGTGAAAGCTTCCAGAAACAGGTGATTAAATGTAACTTTAATCCTGTTTGTTTGCCTATCCTTGTTTGCCTTGCAGAAATGTTCTTTTGTGAAATGATTAAATAAAATATAAGAATTTGATATGTCGCTAAGCAGAGGGGCTGTTTCTGTTATTAATGGGGGTTTTTTATTTTTGTTTTTTTTGGTCCGTTTTCCTGTCAGTTTGAAAAAAAGTGCATTATGATGTAATAAGTGAGTTTTTTTAAATAGCGAACTGTTTAATGCTAAGGGATTAATATAATGTGATGAAGAAAAAATAATCCAAAAGAACCCCATCTTACCCTCAATTATTATACTACCTGCACTAGTCTCCATTTCCTATAATTTATTATAATACATATATAAAAACATTTCAACAAACTCCTGTGAACGGTTTCAACTTAAACAAACGAATGTTGTTTGTAAATTATATTTAACTTTATTTGTCCAATCTAAAATGGACTCTGGACTCGCTTGATTAGTTACGTTATTAAATGTGTTTGTTACTGTAGGCTCGTCTATGTACCACTAGAGGGAGACAATTAATCCACTTTGTTCTTCCAATGTGATATTCTTCACTCTATCTGTACATCTCTTCCGTTACGTTAATAGTGGATTTCGGGAATGAACCGAGTCTGGACACTTTTTGTGGCTTGATTTGATAAATACCGTATATGACGTTTTGAATGTGTTCTTCTTTGCATTTATTTCTTACCATGCAGCACACGTCGCTTTATGCAAACGAGTTACAGTTAAGCTTCCCTCTGCGCATGCTCTGACTCTGCTGTTCGTCTTCTTATCTGTAAATGGATTGTTCAAAACATTGTGTAGTGGTTTGGTTTATTATGTCATATCTGAAGGGTGGATAGCAGAGAAAAAAGAGCTTGTTATTCCAGATTACAGAATCTGAAGAACAACACGTGACTAATTTTATTTGCAGGGGAAGTTAATTTCCAACTCTTGATTCAAAAGGGCTTTAATCCCACGAAGATAAACTAGACAGTGGTGGTGAATACTGTGGTAAAGATCCTTCTCACTGGCTGTGAATGTTACAAAGATGAGTGGGTGAGACAGAAGGAAAATGTCAGTAGCAGTTTAATTTGATCAAGGATGCTAATACTGTGTCAGTGCAGCAATTTACATCAATGTACATAAGGTTAATATATTCTGGCCATCCTGCCTTTGTTAGACTGTACAAAGTATGATCTTTACCTGCTTTTAAAAAGTGATTTGTTTCATTTCAATTGAACAAAATGCAGCAGAGATCCAGAACCTAATGAACCAAATGTTGTCACCTCAGTTGTGTCTCTGTTTGAGAAACAATTAATTTTAAACCACAAATAAATATAAAATAATTAAAATACATATATGTATGGAAGGTGAAAAGAACATGACACTACTATTACAGCACTAATTTAACCCCAAAATACACAGTCTATTGGACCTGAATTAAAAAAAAAGACATTTTTGTGGGCCCTGCCCCAGTGGTTGGACATCCATTCAACTTGTAAGCTTGGGCACAATGCAACTTTATTTCCATGAAATACTGTAATTGGGAGAACTTTTAGGTCCTCCTGCACAGAAACAGTTCTTGATGTTGACCTGGCACTGCTGATGCAGTTCGCCTTCATAACCACCACACACACACACACACACACACACACACACACACACACCGACTCACCAATTACTGGATTGAGGATAAAAAGCAAGGACAGCAGGTTTCTATTGTTGGCTTCCCTCCTCTCGGTGCAGCAGACTGGAAACCGTGCTCTCTATTATCTAAACTGGACAGCGATGAAAAGCAACTCTGGGTGATTTTCCACAGATAATTAGAAAAATATGCTCATTATGAACCAGCGTTCCCTCCAGTCAACCGTTGAAACCTGGACAGCATGGACTTTATCACTTCATTTATTCCAGCACATTTCTGATTAGCGGCTGAATGGCTTATTGTTTTGTGACTGGCATAAAAGGCATAATGGCATAAAGAATCAAGATGTTCCTGTTGGAAACTATTCAAACTCACAACCAATGCATGGACTAATTAATCAGCCAAACATCAAGTTTCAGCCACACGTTTTCAACTTTGGATGTGGTGTAACAGAGATTAGGACTGAGCTTGGACCTGTGTCTTTGGTACATGGAGTTCCTGCTGCTTGCTCTGGATTTGAAGAATCAAATCAATAAATAAATATACTAAGGCAGATATTATGAAGTATATACAGTACTCATGTGTCAGTTTTTCCAAGGGGCCACAAGGAAAATGGGAATGCTTTTGTGTCACAATATGACAAACTATTGTGTTGTATACGACAAACCCAGCCCTCTGCTGCATGGTGCAGTACATGCGTGTAATCTGTACATACATCAATGTGCACAGTGAAACACCATATCCTTCCTCCTCTCCTAGCTGCTCCCTCTAGAGTTGGCCTCAGTGGATTACCTCCTTTCATCTCATGCAATCCCTCTCCTCCTAGACTTCTTGAATACTCTTCTTCACGCCATCCTTCACTGCTTCCATGAATCTTCCACGCAGCCTTCCTTTTGTATCTTTCTACTGCCTGAGATCTTGTCTCCAACATCTTATCATTTATGTGTTTGTAGTTTAATCATTATCTCTCCTCAGCAGCTGTGTGGCTTCTACTCTCTAACCTTATCTCCGAACTGATGCTCCTTAGTCGGCTCTCTGATCTGCCAAATTCTTATACTTTTTGGTGACTCCTGATAGAAATTGGAGCAGTTTCAGTTCTAAATACTACTCAGTAAAAGAGGTGTGGTTAGAATTAAAAGAGGCTGCTACAAATTCACAATATGTGAAGAGTGTCTTTCAAAGAAAAAGAAAATCAGGTCAGGATTGCAGGGAGTACTGTCATAATGCTTTCTGTACTTTCTGTCTCTTGTATTTAAGTATACATATTTGCAGCAAAATAGACTGATACATCTGAAATGTGGATGTGCCTCTGTAGTGTTTAGATTGTTATTATTTGACTGTATTGTTGTATTATAGCATTAGGATAATAGATTATCTATTGTTCTATTTAATTTGCTGCCTGTTTTGAACCATATTAAAACAAAATTTCCTTTATAATAAGTATTCCCAAAGTAGGAGTGCGCGAGAGAAAAATGTGATGGCGGTTGGAATGTTTTTTAAGTTGAATTTTTCACAGAATAATGTCGTGTAAATAAACATTCCCTTTAAAACCAAAAGCTGAGATGTTGATTAGTAAAAACATACAGGCTCTTCATAGAAAAAATTATAGACTTGTTTTAACATATATGAATAAAATATTTGATCATTAGTAACCCATCATGTACCTGATGTATGGCTCACATAAGACACACTGTGTCTACACTGTTGATGTGAGCAGGCTGCACCTCTTCTAACAGATGTTCCTCTGTGGGCATCCAATGCAGGATCATTGACCATTAATGATTTAAAGACTTCATGATTTCAAATGCACAGGACCCTCCTACAGACCGCAGAGTTATTATATAAATGTAGAGTCACTGCAGATGGATTAAAGAATACCCTAAAAATGTACAAAGTAGAATTAAATTATTTATATATTTAGATACAGTATGATGTTTTTTATTTTATTTTGTAAAATTGCATTGGAGCTACATTATGATGTGATATACTGTATTTCTGGTTATGTTAGCTATTGTCCAGTGTTACTAGAAAATTGCTCAGAATGCAATATATACATTGTAAAGAGACAATCTCCCTATGGTTTGTCTGGTAACCAGTATGGAGCTCTCGGTGGCAACTCTAGCTGCTCCAATTCTGTATTTGCTATTCTAGAGTTTCTGCTCATAAATCATTTACGGTGTATGGTTCAGTGCCCGCAGAATGAATCGAGTTGATGCATTGAATTCTGGTTTGGACTCTTATTCAGAGCTGAACAGCAGCGGTCACAAAATGAGTGGATTAATATCGTGTTTTTTTTTTTTTGCTTTAATAATCAAACCTGTCACAGAATAATGGCAGTAGACGACTTATTCTTCACTTTTCACACATGCAGTATAAAGCACAGTTGGATGGCTAGTGCTGTGTAACGAACTATAAGCATTCACATAAAGTATAAGGAGTCTCAAAAGCTATTGAATAATCTCCTTAATATTCATATATACAGTATATATTGGTGGATAACAGATGATTGGTAATTCTGACCTAAACAGACTCCAGAAATTTCCCTCTTGTATCATAATATGATTGATAAAAAAATGATAAAAATGAAATGAAAGCACAAGTCTTACATTTATGTAAAGGAAAGTGAAATTACTTGTCATTGTGACACAGCATACAACCAAATGTGACCTCAGTACCTCACCTCAGCCCCGCACCTCAGTAGTAACTTGGCAGCTGGTGGACTTGAACCTGAAACCTTGTAGACCCAACTCCGCTTTTCTAACCACCAAACCACCACTGCCCCAAACTTTCCCAAAGTGTTATTATGCTGTGATAAATAGGTAACAACAGCCGTAATTATCAATCAAGCTGAAAAACACATACATAAATAATATATGTTTCCAGTGTGCAAATAGCAGCTGAGGGTCGCCTTATCTCCTCACTACAGGGTGTAACAGAGAGAAGCTGTGTGCTGGAATACTGTAGTACACCCTGAGGTAATGTTATTGCAACAGCTCTGATGTTGAAACACATATGCTGCAGAGGCGCTAACCTAAATCCTGATCCTTTCTAAGTGGGTTGACGTCGAGCATAATTAACCTGATTGTTACATTTCAACCAGGAGCTAGTGTTTAAACACATCAAATTGGATTATGCAGGTATTGCAGTGCAGGTGCCAGCTTGTCATTTAATGTTAATGTGTTTAAACTTGTATGGACATGTCTGATACTTGGAGGCGAAAATTATAATTAAAATTATAATTAAAATGATATGTAAAATATTTCTCTTTGTCTTTTAAGGCTCAAGAGAACAAGACAGACCCTGTTTTTCTATATATATATTTTTGTTTCAGTGTCAGACCACAGATGTAAAAGATGAAAGTGCATTTGCAATATTAAATTAATAAACAAGACTAAATATAGCTAAAACAAATAATAAATAAATAGAACTAAACTAAAACTGTAATGAAGTAGCAAAGAACAGCTGGGATTCATTTTTATTTTATTGTATTTCCCATAAATGAAAATAAGCCTTTCCAAAAAACTACTACTAAATGATGCATGCACGACCTGTTGTGTAGTTCCATGCTCCTGCGGTGGTGGCGCAATTGAGCTAAATAAGCGTGC